TCACTAAACTCCTGAAAGAAAGAACTGTTTGAACCAGGTGGAGGATAGACCACAGCATAGTAGAACGGGTCCTTACGCCCGACTTTAATCAGCTGCAGTTCAAAGGAAGCAAAGTGACCAGAGGTTGTAGAGCTACATGGAAGATGGTCTCTGAAAACAACAGCTAGGCCTCCACCACGACCAGAACCCCGGGGCTGGCTAAGAAAAGAATAACCACTCGGGCAGAGTTCAATCAGACCAGAATAATCAGATGTTTGTTGCCAAACTTCAGTCATAAACAGAAAATCCAGGTTTTTAGAGAGAATTAAATCATTGAGCAGGAATGACTTATTGTTAACAGAGCGGGTATTTAATAGAGCAATGCTGATTGAGGTGGAGGAATCAGAAACTACAGAAACAGCTGGAGTTAGTGGATGTAAATTAGCGAGGTTAGATCCACGGTGTTTATAAAAACCACTTATGGAGGGAACAGGAGTAGAAACCACTGAGGAATGAGGATAAACCGACCTTAAAAAACTTGGACGGATGAACCGCGCTGCAATGCAGCCTGGCGGGAATGCGGAAGTGGCGCTCAGGTCACCAAACAAAGGACAAGTAGCTAGAAGATCACGCCGATGTTTACTAGATAAACCACGCTTTAAGATAAGTCTTATTCTCACCTGGATTCCTGCTCGTTTACCTCTTTTCCTCCGACGTTTTCCCGGGACCGGACAAACATAGCTGGAGGTGCGCAGCTCGGGACCGTAGTTTGGCTCCGGGCCAGTGCGCCGCTCAGGTAAACAAAGAGGGAGGTACGTCCTCGGTGCGTCTTGGGCGATCGTGAACGAACGGAAGGACAAAAGAGTCTGGCGATCATAGGAGATGGTAGCAGGGACACTACTGAAGAGGACCGCAGACAGGAGCAAGGTGGAAAAGAGGAGGTTAGTGGAGAAAAGTTTGAAAAAGTGGCCGGTGAATGCGGCTAAGCCAAGCACAGGCGCCATCTTTTTGCCGATCTAGGATTAGAAAATCTTGACAGAAGAAGACAAAAGTCACCTGCATCACAGCTGAGCTTCAAACGACAGGATTTGGAATCTTATTTCCTGATATTTAGACTTCTCTCCTCTGATTGGCTAACAGACTCTGTTTGCTCTGCAACGTTGAGGTTTTATCTCCACAAATAACACAAGCATGGAGGAGTTCTACTGTGTGGTGGAGTTGCTAATGCTAACAGTTAGCTTCTACTAGCTGAGACGTTCTCTGCTGTTTCCTGGTTGCTAAACCAACAACAGCCTTCCCTGTCGTGAGTCAGGATGGGTGAGTCCATGAATGTTAGTGACAGTGTGACGTAGATCTTCAGGTTTTTCTAATCCTAGAGTTTCACCGTCTGTTTTCTATCAGAAGCTAATGCAGGAGATAGGTGTAGGAGACTATTTTCATGTTCAGCCTGCATGAGAAACTCAGAGTGACCCGTTATAATCAGAAATAATCGTTAAACATGTTTTTTTCAGTGAACCACACCTTTAACAAGCAGCTTGTGAAATCAAGGTTACATTCGGGTCAGTTTTTGAGAGATTCTGAAGATTAAATCTAACCATTTATGCCCATTAATCTCTTCTTTAGGAAGCCTGGACAGGAATCCTGTTCCTCTTGCTGACAAAAAAGCATTTTCACATTTTAGGCATTATCAAAAGAGCAGACCAGATGTAGAAATCAGTTCTTCACAAATGTGGAGATCAAATCACCTGCTATCTCTCACTAGCCATTAGCATATCAATCCTGGCGGACTAAACTCTATTTTTCTCAACTCAGTCTATTCAGGAAGCGATCTACAGCAGGTAAGACAGTAATTATTTATAACTTGAACACATGAACATATAAAATAATTTGCTGATGTGTTAGTCACTAGGAACCGACTTTGTTTACTACTAACCTGCTACTGAGTCCAATGTTTAAGATCCTGAAAAACACGCAGGCACATTTCTCTACATTTCTGTGCCCACTTCAAACAGACAAGAAGATCAAACACACATCGGTCCGATGGGTTGGTCTGCGTGCCTGAAGAATGATTAAATATTTGTGCTCAGGTTAATATTTTATCACGTTTGTTTCGTGTCACGTTACGTAACACTGAGGAGTAAAATCCTGAATGAAAACAGTGGAAGACGCCGAATTTCACAGAACTCTTTAAGTTCCACTAATGCTGGAAACAAAAATCTAATAAACATATTTCTGTTTCACTAATATCCTCGATGCATAAACTAGCATTTTTTTACACCAGTGGGGAGTCCAAACTTGTGAAACAGTTGTTTGTGTCACACGTTAATTATGTGCCTCCAGGTGGACCTGTTTGTCACAAGTGAGTGTAAACATTCATGTCCTTGAGTAAATAGTTGAGATGCCTGAGCAGCAGCAGCCCTATGGGGCGCCAGCTGTTCAGTACTATATTAAGAATACAACTTCCCCCAATTAGTTTTTAAGTACTGAATATAAGCATATTGTTGTATAAAAACTGATGTGAAATTTTAGAATAAATTCATTATACAGATAGGAAGAAAATGTTGAAAATTAATTTTAGAAAAAGATCAAAATATATTTGAAATGGATATAAATATTTAGAATTAAATCTAAATAAAAAAACTCATTTGAAACTAAGTTTTAGAATTAAACCTAAAATAAGTATTTAGAATCAAAAGAAACAATATAAAGTTTAAAATTTTATTATATGAATACAAGTTTTAAAATGTAAAATAACATGCTAATTCAGACTTAATAGAAATGAAAGTAGCCTATAGCAAAATGAAAACAAACCCCTTTCTCACATCATTCGAGCCCTTATAGAGGTTCGGACAGGAACATTGAAGTATAATTGAAAATACTTTAGGTATTTGATTTAGGCTACCACAAAAAGGGTCTTGTCAGATTTTGCGGATAAGCCGATGAAAACGGACTTTCAGATTTTAGGTATAGGGGATCTCTTTACCCTGCTTTTATTTAGGTAATCTACTTCAGTTTTCCAGCAGTCTGAATTTGTCTAATAAACATTATCAAACAACAACAAATACATTTTGGAATTTAATATAAAGATTACATTTAATTTTTTTAAATGATAGATTCCAAATTTTTTGTTGTTATGGCGAATCTGCAGAACAAGCTAGGTTTTGAACGCAAATACGGTCACAGAACACCCACCCCTCCCCTCGGGTATCTACCCCGAGACGCTTCTGCCGGAACCAGAAACCCATGATGCCAGATAAAACGAGGTAGTGCTAAACACCAGTCGCAATTTTCCAAACGTCTTTTGTTGGCCGTGACTTGAAATGGTGTTTTTTCTTTTTGGGACTCTGGCACTTTGCCCTAAAGTTGAAGTGGTAGCAGCTGGCTGTTTCTCCTTCTCTGACGTTATTGAGCAGAGAACCTCTCACACCACTGGTGTTCTGCTGCTAAATACGTGAGTGTGTGATGAGTGGAGGACCCAGGGAAGTGCGGTGGTTTGGCGGGACTGACAATTGGATGGTACAGTGGTTGAATTCGGTCCAAAATGGGTTATGGGCGGAGGGTTTTAGACAAATGCGAGAGAACCACTTTAGTTATTTATTTATTTGTTTGTTTGTTAGTTAGTTAGTTTATTTTTCATCTTTTTAAAATCTCCACAATATATTTGTGGCTATACTGTGTTAGACAGTTAAGAGGCATGAAAATTTTAAGCAAATTTTTTTCTTCCAAATTTGCCATTTCAGCTTTAACCTCCCGAGATCTGAACCTGTATTTGATGTGATTTAAAAGAAAAAATACATCTAACTATTACAGAGTAGTCTACTCTCACTAATGGAAACAAAATTACAAATATTCAAATGAAATAAAAATTCAATTCAATAAAAAAATTGGTCAAATTTCCTATAAAAAATAAAGAAAACCAACAAATTACAAATTTAAGGCAATATCATGTGTCTATAAGTAATAACAAAAAGGTCTAAGGTGAAGATAATAAAATTTTATAGTGCAAGGAGCCAATGGTAACTAAAATATTTTGAGTTGATTGGATGAGCAATTTATAAACTTCAAATGTATGAGTAACATTTATTAAGAAACTTTATTTATGAAAACTTAAAATTTTCAGTATCAAAACTCAAAAAAATTGAGAAAATTTTGAGTTCTGGGAACTTATTCGGGTTTACAGTGACAGGGCCTGGAGGTTAGCATTATATATGCATATTATTCTGGGTTTTTTTAGGTGTAAAATTTTTGAACTAATACTGTAACTTCTAGACTGTGACATGTGGTGGAAAGAGTGCTAAAAAAATTCGTAGCCCGTATTTTTTATCTGTGAGGAGATAAATGTAACAAAACTGTCTTACTTGAAAAATCAGCACCCCATACATCGCAGGTGTTCACGTTTTCTTGGCCTCAAAAGTATCTCAGAATGTCCGAAGTTTCTCAGTTTTATTTCTCTCAGCCCAACGTGACCAAAGCTGGATCTGGCAGCAGAGCTTGTTTGTGCTGTAAGCTGCTGCGTGTCCGTGCCGCATAGCGTGCATGCCATCAGGAGCATGCTGTCATCCTCTATAGATGCTGGGTAGCCTGAGTCACAACAACAACAGAAGGTCTACTTCTACCCTATTTACTCAGGAAAGAAACATAAAGGGAACCATGGAGAAAAGCAGGGTTGTCTGGGAAACTTTAGGAATTTTTATTCCCCTTTTCTGCATTCAGCATCAGTGCGACACTCGCGATGGATGGTCTCTGCTGCAGTTTGTCCCAAAGCCAGAGAGCACCGGTCCGGTCCGCTGAGGTGCAAAATGTAAATGCACTCTATCACCTAGAAGCTTTTGCCATTCTGAAATCAGCTGACATTGAAAAACGAGTATTAAATTACTGAGAATTAAATTACGAGACGAGTGGGGTAACGGGTATGGCCCAAATCAGCTGTTAGGAAAGTGAACACAAGACAGAGATGCGGGAATAAATTAAAAAACACGCATAAGACTCGTCAGCATCCAGACATCCGCAGGAAGACTAACCTGTGAGTGTTGGCAATCCAGCTTTGGGCTCACAGAGGCGGACACGCTTCACCGAGCTCCGTGTCACCATGCGAGAACTACTGCGGCTCCCCAGCAGCGTCCGCTCACTGCGGTCGAGCCTCGATAAAAGCGAGGAAACGCGTTTTGTGGTGCGCGAGTGCACAATGTATTACGGTAACCTCGGTCACTTTCAAAATAAAGCCAGAAAAAGATAAATCGAGCGTTTCCTCTGCGTTGTGTTTCAAAATAAAAGCACTTAAAATCATATCTCTACTTTGTCTTTCTATTTGGCTCATAACGTTAGCATAGACGTTCTGTTATTGCTGGAGTTCGTTGAAATCTGATTTTTCAGTTTCAGATCAGATGATCAGAAATATAATTGTGAATTTTGGTCAGTTTCAATCGCCACTGGATTTTTTGGGAGGGAACTTTATCTCTTAACTTTGCACAAAATTTATTGTTTTTGTATTTCAACATAAACAAAACTTTATAAACTAAAATGGAAGTAAACACCCGCCGCAGATATAAATATTAAAATTGTTTTGTTCTGTGTTACAATCAATTGTTTCTTAACAGAGAGGCTGCATCCAACCACTAGGGGGTGTATAGTTTCTCAACTTCCACAAATTGTTGCTTTATCTATGTGGATTGGAAGGTTACACACAGGAGGCCCTGACCAATGTTCGGTGTGCAATGTGGTAACAAGAAAGGACAGTCTACGCTACGGCAAGCCAAAAGCTCCATTATATGAAACACTCTGCCTTCTGCTTGATGCATGCACACGTCATACATGAAAATCCAATAGATCAACGCAGATACAGCATTGCATCTGATTAAAGGTCTGTCCCATAATCACAGGGTTGCAGGATCAATCCCATGCCTCCAGGGAATTCTGCCAATGCGTCCTTGGGCAAGACACTTCCCCCTCCTAACCTGCTGGTGGCGGTTGGCAGCCTCGTCTCTGTCAGTGTGCCCCAGGGCGGCTGTGGCTTCGATGTAGCTCATCATTACAATCGGTGTGTGAAAGGATGAATGACTCACTGGTGTAAAGCACTCTGGAGTCCTCTGACTCAGAAACCCTTTATGGCAATAGAACTGTGCAAAAGTTTTGGGCCCCACGTACTGTCAGACAAAGTCAAGAGAAGCTTAAAGTGGCTCAAGACCACTTTAAATGACTCCTTGGAAACATAATATAAAAAAAATAGGACATCACCCCCCTCACACTTGCTGATGTAACCAAGGTAACAACGAGGAAGGTCAGGAGACTGGGGAACAGTGCTCTGAATGCTAATCAGCTTGTTTTCGTTTCAGTGGGTCCAAACGAAAGATTTTATCCAAATAAATAAAATTTTGTACAATTTGAAGTTGTGGTTTTGTTGTTTTTTATTGTGTCGGCGCAACTACCCACCAGACAGCATTTTAACTTGACTTGAAATATTTAGGACTTTCCTTTTCTTTGTCAAATGCATTAAAAAGGTGTTCATCATAAACATTTGATAGCAAAACTTTTCAGAGCACGCTCCTCTGACATATCACAGCAGGCCTTTATAATAAGCTGATAGATTTAGGTCTGAATGTTCTGACCAATCAATAGCTGAGATGAGGTCTGGGCCAAAGGGGATATGTAAACAAGTGCTCTGCTGCCACCTACAGGCAGGTTTTAGTAACAGCAGACATGGTGGAAGGCTCTGCATGAACATCAGAAGCCTGTGGAACATGTCTGCACAATAGAGATGTTTCTGTTAGACATCTCTAAGTAGTCTGGTCTTTATATTCTCAGATCAGTTTACAAACTGATGCAATTTCCTCTTTTGCTTCCTTTGGCTTTAAGATCAGAGACAATGAGACCAAGTTAAATTCTTAAATTAATCACATTTAAAGATGAAACATGACTTACAACTTTGCCATAGGATTCCTGCACATTTACATGGGCGGGCTCAATTAACAGTAATAATAATTATAATAATAAACATTACGTTTTGTGAAATATTAAACAGTTTTAGGGTTTTTGCTTTTGCTGCAGCTTCTCAGTGCTGGAGCGTATTAAACAACTGAATCAAACAACAAGACTTGATTCTTGAGCTCATACTGTGTGCAATAAAACAAAAGGTAATATTTACAGTTTCTTAAAGTTTTAAAAGTCAGTTAAGAGGTTAGTTGTAGATTCTGTATATAATATATAACACCTCCCACCCCGGTCCAAACTGAGGTGACGAGCGCTGCTTATCGAGGCTGCATGCACTGATGTGAGAGCCCCAAACCCTACCACCCCACCTAGTGGACACTTATGTTGTGTGATGTCTGAAGTCTGTTGCATTTCTGTCTGAGGTGTTTTTTTGCAGAGCAAAGCTGCCCTCCCTGTGGAGGGTAACTCTGAAGTGCCTTTTTTTCCTCCACCTGACCCAATCCTCATTTATAAGCCCTCTGATCTCTTGTTACGTCCCCGACAGGTGTTGTTAAAATGTGAAGGATGGGGATAACATAAGAACTGGACAGCGGATATTAAAATGGTTTTATTTGTAACAAAAGGTTCTAAAAACGAGCAAACAGATGCCACATTATAAAGATAATGCCAAAAACAAACAGAACTCTCTGAAAGGTTAACACCACAAATTATAAAACACCTGGTAAAAACTTATATTAAAAGTCTTACCGAACTGAAGGTGTTCTTAAAAACCCGAAGTTGATAAAAGTCTAAAACATTATACTGACTAAAACTTATTTTAAAAAGCTTTACCCCAACGAAGGTGTTTAAAACTGAAGTCAGTAAAATTGCCACAAACAAAGTTAACCTTTAAAACCAAACTGCAAAAAGATCCCACTGGATCATCCAAAAAACTTATCACTGAGAGTTAAAAACTACCAAAGTTTAAAACTCATCATCATCCAAACACGAAACAACTAATCATTCATAATTAATTACACCCCCCCCCCCCCACACACACACACACACACACACACACACACTTGAAGGACTATGTTGTTAATGCCACAGGGGGCAGCACTAAGACGTTTTTAGATCGAGATCCTATATTTAATCTAGTTTACACAAACATGTCAACAAATGCACAGAAACAGAAAGACTGCATTTGTAAAGACCCGAGTTTACAGTTTATAAGCAAGTAAAGTACTTTGGGGTTTAGTTACTCTTGATATTAACATTAATAATTAATATTAACATTACCAAGAGGACAAACAGAAACATTAAGATTTTTAAAGCTTGTGCAAAAGCATTAGGTCCTATAAAAACCATATTTGAAGGTATTTTCATGTATCTACGTTGTGTTGGGCAGATTTCAACAGCAGCCATGAAAGATGTGAATCAGCCTAATTTCCAATGTCAATTTGATGTTTTTGGAGCATTTTATTTATTTTTAGTTGTTTTGTTAGAGAACCATGAGTCATAAAATAATTAGTCACACTGACTGAAAGAGGACAAGAGTCTCTGAGTTTTCATACGTATTATGTGTGTTTATTGTAGGAACACTTTGTTGTTTAGAACAGAGCGCCGCAGAAAATCACCAAAGTCTTCCCACTGCCTCTTCTTTTGGAACACACGCATGAATTAAACAACAAACTGTGGGGAATTTAGTCTCATTAGTGTAACTTTTCATCTTTGCAGCATTTATTTTACTTTTGTGCTCATTATTATAATTATTATTGTGCTCATTTCATTTTATCTCATCTTATCTGTACTATGTTCTTCTGTACTTGCGAATTGGACTCTGGAATAAAGACTTATGGTTAGCTCAAAAATTGGCTGAAAAAGCGTTGAATACCCACAGAACCTCTCGTGTTTGTGTGCTACTTTTAGCAGAAAACCTGAAGTTTTCAACAAACTGTGTCCCCGATTTGACCAAATCTGATATCAGGGTATCTGCAGGTTTAAGGGAGCCAAATTTAAGACTTTTTAAGACCTTTTTAAGGCCACTTTGACCAAATTTAAGCTATTTTTAAAATTAAATTTAAGCTATAATTCCCAGCTATTGCCTGGAGCCGGTGCTAACCATGTCGTGAACGTGGGATTAGCCATCCAGTTACCATTCAACTTGCACTTCCTCATGGCGCACGCTCCCACTAGCTTAACCAGCTAATGTGCTCATCTAAAAATAGCCCCCTTTCACAACCAACTGAATGTGTATGGTTCCGCTTACGCCAACATCGTACACAAAAAATGCTGAACACTAACTAGAAATTCACGAAAATTTTTATAGAAATAAAATAATCTTGTTTTTTGGGTCTTTGGTAATTTAAGACCTTTGGAAACTGGATTTAAGCATTATTTGTCATTTTTAAGGATTTTTAAGGCCTTAAATTTGGAAAAGCAAATTTAAGACTTTTTAAGACTTTTTAAGGACCCGCGGATACCCTGTGATATGAAAAAGCTGCTTCAGCACAGCAAACTTGAATGTGTTCAAATGAAGCGTCTCGGTGGAATTAGTCCATAAACGTGTAGCTTTGGCAGGCCCGAGTCAAAATGAATGAATGGTGCACATTTATTATGAGTTTTTACAACATATATGTATTAGCACATGCTACTTAGGCCTGACATAAAGATGTTTTAAACACATACAGCAAAACATACAATAATTGATCTAATGTGTTAATAAGGCTGAGACTAGCGAAACAAGGCGTTGCTACGGAGCTTCCTTCTACGTGAGTTTAGTCAGACTTTAGCTCATTTATGTCCATCTTACATTAAAAACACTAGTAACTAGACATTAAACCCCATTAAAGCAGAAGCATGTGTTCGTCACCGTAGGCGGCGGGGTATGGGAGGTGCTGAGCAGGTTTGTCTGTTAGGAGGTTTTTGAGGAAGTGGTCGTGTTGGGCAGGAAATGTAGCGCTCGTGCATCTTCTCAGGCACCCTGCAGAACAAAACAGCGTTACTCATCAGAGCAGAGAAAAATAGAGACACGAACGCTCGCTTGTTATTACCAGCAGTTAAAGAAAAATGTGGTCTGCAAAGGAACGCTGGAGTTTTCACACAGTAACGTTTAACAAGTGAAGCAGAATCCTAAAGGAGCACGCTCTGAGACGCCCCCGTGGTCGATAGAAGGTTGCTGGTTTTTATTAACCCCAAAACCAGCTGAGCAGAAACTCACGATGGCGTAAAGGTGTTTGATTATTATTCTCTATCTAAAAAAAGCTATTTCCCACTATTAAGGCTTAATTTGTATATAATTATAACATCTCATTGTGTTTCTGTGTCAAAGTTAAATTTACCTGATAAAGATCACACACACACACACACACACACACACACACACACACACACACACACACACACACACACACACACACACACACACACACACACACACACATACACACACACACACACACACACACACACACACACACACACACACACACACACACACACACACACACACATTGTATGTTTGTTTTTGCATCTAAAACAAAAATTCAAACACCAAAAAGTAGACTGACAGTCATAGAACTAATTTCTGCGTAATTCTTGGTTTTTGTTTTTTTCTTGTGTCTTAATAAAGTTTTGAGTTTCTTCATCTAATCGTTGTTGCCGTGCTGCATTTCTGTATAATAAAATCCAATCATTTTCCCTGTAGTTAAACATTACATTAATACTTCTGCCATGTGTGGCCTTCCATCGGCTGTATTTCACCACGTCTGTATTTCCTCCTATGTGGCAAAAACACTCTAAAAAGACGCCGTTCTCAAAGATTGTTTAAAAAAAACTTGATAAGATCTCAGTTCCAAGAAGTCGCCCACGCACCACAGCCATGGAAAACACGTCATCAACACGCACTAACACTCAGGGCCAGATTAAGACTTTGTTGTACCCTGGGCAACAATATTCAAGGGCCCCATCATCACGACCCCAGGATCACCATAATATGGTCACATACAGAATATTTTACTGTAATATGCAGTAAATATACTCAATACTTGAATGCCTGACATCACGTAACCCGCTCAGGGTAACCTTTGACCCACCTTGTGTGGACTGACCAATGAGGAGAGGTTCTTAACTTGAAGCCCTCTCTTCATTGGTCAGTCTGCAAGAGACTGACTCTCAACTGACGTTCAGTCGTAGGCAGCGAAGCGTCTCAGCGCAAAAGGCCGGGTGGACAGTTTGTTTAATATAGGGTGACCATATTTCCATTTCTAAACAAGAGGACAGGGGATCTGTGCCTATGATGTCACACTATGGCAACGCCACACAAACCACGTTGGGACCCATTATTTGTAAGAACTAAATTAATATCAGATTCTGCCAATAAAAGGGCTCTAAAACAATTCATATGTAAATATTTAGCATATTTATTGCAAAATCTCATTTTTCTGCTTTAGTGCTGCAATAAGATTGCATTAATAATAAATTATTATACCTTTTGTTTTACTACAGCATCGGTAAGCTTCCTGTGCACAGATTATTAAGGATGCTTGTTTCAGCTGTGAGATTAGACGATAGGGTCAATGAAAAAATAAGTTGTCACACACTCCATGGAAACTTTCAGAGAATCCACAAATAGCGGCTTTCACATGGTTTTGTTACTTTTTGCAAGTTTAGAAAAGAAGCAGATGAGACAGCATGTCTGATAATTTAGTTTTTCATCTGATAATATTAGAACATGTCAGTAATGTCTGAGGGGCTTTTATAAACACTGTATAACTAATACTCCTGGAGAGGGTATGAATTACACAGAGGCTTGGGGAGCCCAGTTATGGGGGTGGGTGGGGTCATTTTGCCTTGGCCCCCAAAATGCCTTGAAACGGCCCTGGGTGTGTGACTGAGTGTTGAAGGTGATCTGAATTGTATCAGATGTATAAATATGACATGTGTATAACTTATTGTTTTATACAGGTAAAAACGTGTAGTGGAGCTAAATCTACCTACATTTTACTTTTCAACACTTAGTTTTGTTTTTATTGAACTATTTTCCTGTCCTGTCTGTCTCTCATCTTCCTGCATCTCCTCTAAACTCTCCAGAAAAACTGCTTGCAGGATTCTTACTTTTTCACCTCATCAGTTACTTTTGAGCAGATCAAAGGGATCTCCTGACCGCAAAGCGGAGTGCCCGATTCGATGCTGCGTCAGTGAGGTGAAATCACCGCAGCACAGGTGATGAGCTCCGCAGTAGCAGAGCGCTTCAGGCACAAATAAGACAGAAAGTAGAGAACATTTGCGGACATGAACGATCGTGTGTTAATTATAGTTTTTTGGTTGCGCCACTTTGAGAATGGACTGTGCGCTGGAAGCAGCTGCCTGGAGCGCTGCGCAATAACACAGCGCTGTGCCGCTCTCTGTGCTCTCTGCTCGGAAGAGTCCATAAATGATGCAATATAGGTAGAAAACTTTTTTCCAGCTCCCATGGATGTGTAGGATATCCAAGTCCCCCATAATTCGATCCCTGCTCCTGGATGAAAAGCCGGACATTTTCATCAATACAAGACCCCCCCAAGAGAGTGAAAAGTGGACATGTCCGGGGAAAACCGGACGTACGTTCACCCTAGTTTAATATAAAGCGGGAGATTACAGATTCAGTATTTTGCTCGTGCCCTTGCTGCCCTAGGCCCTCTAGAGTTCGTGGGCCCTGGGCAATTGCCCAGTTGCCCATATGGTTAATCCGGCCTTGCTAACACTGTATTGGAGCAGGCGGAGGGAGACTAGGGGTCTTAGCACACCTCTGTTGTTGCTTGGCTTCCCGAGGCTGGAGGCTAAGGGGGGAGCTGGCCATCTGGTTGGGGTCTGGGTTGGTGGGTTGCTGTGCTCGGCGTTGGGCGGGGGAGCCTGCTCATCAGCATCCCAGCAGAAAGGGTTGAACTCTTGGACCGGTAATGGTTGTACCCCATGTGCAGCAGTACCGGGACCAGAGTGAACAGGGTGTGTATGGGGAGCATGAGTGGATGTCCGGCGTGCATTTTTGTAAGTACCCCCCCTTCCCGCTCCTCTCGAGAGGGGGCTGGGGCGTTTTTGGCTACAGTCTCCCTGGAATCCCTGCGCTCTGGGACAACTCCTGGATCTCTGGGACTTGGAGCTCCCTCCATCTCCTGCACATCTTTGGGGGACAGATCTGTGGCCCCTCACACTCTCTACTGGATGCTCCTATAGATAAACCTTACATAAACAAGCACATGTTCACACACAGGTGCTCACATGGTGCTCTCATAAGTATGGACTTGGGCATGTTCAACACACGTCTTAAGGCTGTGGTTGGCACTAAATGCACTGTGATTTATTATCGTGTGATTGTTCAGTTAAACAATTTTGATTTTATATTTCCTCATCAGGTTGATGCAATGATAGCTTGCTCCTGATGTATTGTTGTGTGTCCCTTTTCTTTTTTTGGTTTGTTTTTTCTCTTTCTGCAGGTCTAGAAGCAGATTCTTGTTCATCATTGATTGTTTATTTTTGTGGATTTTCTCTTTATCGCGCTCTGTCAGTCTCGCTAAGGCCAATCACTGCTGAGACACACCCACCTGTCAGGGATCCGTGGAGGAATTCTGGGAGGCGGAATGAGAGGAGCCGGGTCGGATGGCCGGGGAGGTCGAGGTGGTGGTGGGAGCATTTCTACCGCATCCTGAAAGAAATAAATAAAGAAAGAAAGAAAGAAAGAAAGAAAGAAAGAAGAAAACAAACACAAACAAGCACACAAATTCAAACACAAACAAGCACACAAATTCAAACAAACAAAAACACACAAAAAACAAACACACACACACAAACAAAAACAAAAACAAAAAAACAAGCACACATAAACAAACAAACAAACAAAAGTTAAATTACACCAAATACACAACCATAATCACGACGTTTTCAGCTTCGGTGATTGCATTATGTTTGTTACATAGAACAGGTGGAACAAGAAGAAAATTTGTTCAGGAAAACTGAAAATTTATTCTTTGAAAATAAAAATTCTTCAAAGTTTTTTTTTTTTAGAAAATGAAACATAGCTCAAGAGTACTGAAATTCCTTTATTAGAAGCTTTGGGGGTTAATTTAGTCCCAGAAAAACAAAAAATTTCTGAAAAAAAAAGATAAATAATTTATCAAGACAAAACCATTTCTTTGTAAATAGCCTAAAACTGGTATAGTTTGCTGATGAGAGGGATCTTGAGTGCTTCATCCATGCACCTTTGTTACAGGTTAGCTCAGTCAGTAGTTTTAGGAAAGGCTGTTTGCTTGATTGAGTTCAACGGTGTAATGTCAGTATGCCGAATAAAACTTTACTTGAGGTAAATTTTCCTTTAAAACATTCTCAGATGGCATAAAAGTGTGTACAATAAAAATATGAATGATTTTTTTTGTCTATTAAAAGTGCCAACGTTTGACTATCTGACCCTGTTTTATGACATAGGTAATCTTTCGGGTTTCCCCCCAAGTCCCGCCCCTGATGTCTACAGTCCCGCCCCTACAGTCCCGCACGCGTCATTTGGAATCCTAGGATGTCCAAGGAAGATCCCGCCTTTCTCACTTCTGATTGGTTTTACTACGGATTTACTACGATTGGCTATTTCATTTAGCAGCAAACCAGCTATAATGCAGACTGTCCTTCTGCCACCAGCAGAAAGCGGTTTTGTAAAGCAAACGTGAACTTAGCGTTATAATAACATTCTGTCCTGTTTTGCTAAATACAGTGATCCCTCGCTACTTCGCGGTTCGTTTATCGCGGATTCACGACTTCGCAGATTTTTTCTTTGGAGCCTTATTCAAGGGAAATTCGCCAATTTGCGGTATTTTTCACCGATTCGCGGCATTTTTCTATGCGAAATATCAAGAAATTCCTGTTTTTTCATCATAAAATGCACTTTTTGTAATAAAACTATAAAAAAAAACAAGTAAAAAAATTTTTTCTTGAGTTTTACCCACAAAAAGAGAATGTGATCATACGATAATTCAATATAGTACTGTACTGTAAATATGGTGTCCCTACTTCGCGGATTTTCACCTATCGCGGCCAGGTCTGGAACGCATCTACCACGATAAACGAGGGATCACCTGTATTTCGTGTTTCATAAAAAACCTGAAAAACGTAAAATGTTAATTTATGACCTTGTTGCCTTTATCAAACTGTTGGACTTACTTTATAACTCTTGGCTCTCAAGCATTAAAGTACATAGGATAAACATATGTGCCTTACCTGGGTATGAAATTTAATAAAACTGCCCAGCTTTGCGCATCAGGTCTGCTTCTTTTCTAGGATAATGAAAACTGGTGAAAAATAGCTCTAAATCATAATCAGCTTTAACTAAATATTTTTGATTAAATTATACATTTTTAATCTGATGATGAGAGACGTGCACTAACTTGTAAAAAGCCTTAACCTATTAAAGTGAAGACATAAGATAGCCTAATAATTAAGTACCCAATAGACCCAACAGACAGTGTGACAAAATGAAACAAGATTTATTACAAGTTCACATTTGATGTTTTTCAGGTTTTTTGATGAAAGAAACTGAAACTGGTTTGTTGCAAAACAGGAAAGGATGTTTATTAAAGCAATAAGTTCCAATTTTCTTCAAAAAAAAACTCCTCAAGATCTGGCTGTAAACCAAGCCCCCATCATGCGGGTCAGAGATTGAGGCTAATGCGGAAGTGAAATAAATTGCAGTTCCACCGTCATCCACTAGGGACTGGTGTCAGAAGCGAGCAAATCCTCATTGACTCCCATGTTAAAAATACCAATTTCACAGCAGAAATAAACATGTTTACAGCCAGGTACCGAAACACGTTTTTGGTTTAAATTATCTAGTTTACACTCATGACAACTCTGAGGGGGGTGAATTTTTTGTCACTCTTCTGTTTAAGTGTGTTAAAAGCCTAAAATTCTGTATAATTAATGAGCATCAGTCCCACGTGACCACAGAGCTAGCTCCGGGGAAAGGCCTCAGTAGCCTCAGTCTGAGCCTTGGTTTCGCCTGAAAACTGTTCCTTGATTTTTAGTCTCTGAACTTAGTTGTAGCGTTTGTGCATTCTTTTTTGGATATTATTTGTGCAATTGTTGGACAAAATGACTTGCTGTGGTATTAATTGCACTAAAAGAGCGTCCAAGGAGTTTCCACTTCAGTATTTTGGTAAGTAAAATTATATTTATGTATTTACGTCAATGGTTTTTAGGTCAATGCCGCTCTTGCACTAGCTGAGCTTAGATTTTAACATGTACTGTTTAACCATGAAATTTAAATGTAATAAAACCATCGACATATATACTGGACAATTCATTTCCATAGGCTCCAATAACACATTTTTGAGGGGAAATGGGAGGTGGCCACCACCGCCATTTTGACCGTGTCGCAGGTTCCGTCAAGCCCAGACAATTCCACAAAAGGGAAGAGAGGTGGAGCTGAGGGTGAGGCTGTGAGGCTAGGATCAACTGACGACACCCGGTCGACCTAGCTACAAGCTAACCTGAAGCTAGCCCAAAGCTAACGCTGAGGTGGGAGCTAAGCTAACGGAGGTAGCAACCTAGCTACAACCGGAGTTAACTGTGCACAACACCAGAGCTTCTGAGTCAGAGATACGCCGGGCTGACCGCTGGGTTAAACCGGGTGGAACACAGAGGTCTCCAAGAGCTCCACAAGCCAGCAGCCACACAGCAGACAAGCGCTGCTGCGATCTGAGATGTGCAGAGCTGCCGCTGGGGAGAACTGAGTGGAAAACATTGGTTTCCATCCCAGAGCTCCACAAGCCGGCAGCCCGCGCAGCAGTCAGGAGCCGCGATCAGACAGAGATGTGCCAAGCTGCGGGGAGGGGAGAAACGGGTGGAAAACAGAAGTCTCCCGAGAGCTAGTCAGAACCCAGCTCCACCAACATGTTATATTTCAACCCATTTTCTAAAGTGCAGCATTATGTTAAATGCACTGGCGTTACATTTACATTTAACACAATTACATTTAAATTTCGTGGTTAAACAGTACATGTTAAAATCTAAGCTCAGCTAGTGCAAGAGCGGCAGTGACCTAAAATACATAAATATAATTTTACTTACCAAAAAAAATGAAGTGGAGACTCCTTGGACACTCTATTAGTGCAATTAATGCCACAGCAAGTCATTTTGTCCAACAATTGCACAAATAATATCCAAAAAGAATGCACAAACGCTACAACTAATGGTCTAAGACTGAAAATGACCGAACAGTTTTCTGGCGAGGCCGAGGATCAGACTGAGGCCTTTCCTCGGAGCTAGCTCTGTGGTCACGTGGGTCTGATGCTCATTAATTATACAGAATTGTAGGCTTTAATATCCTGATCAACAGAATTCAAACAGGAGTTGATCTGTCACTGAGGAAAGAACAAGCTGGCTTTAGGAAAGGAAGAGGAGCTGTAGACCAGATATTCATTCTTAGGAATATCTTGGAACAGGTCAATGAATGGAACGCAACATTGTACATCCACTTTGTTGACTTTGAAAAGGCATTCGACTCAGTTCATCGCGAAAGCCTTTGGACTATCATGCGCCAATATGGAATTCCCCCTAAGCTGATTCAGATGGTCAAGATCCTGTACGCCGACTTTCAGTGCGCCGTCATTGATGAAAATGAAATAACAGACTGGTTTCCAGTGACAACTGGAGTGAAACAAGGGTGCTGTATGTCAGGATTTTTGTTCCTACTGGTGATAGATTGGGTCATGAGGAGACCTGTGGAGGGTAAAAGAACCGGAATCAGATGGAACTTCATGACCATGCTGGAGGACCTAGACTATGCCGATGACATTGCCCTACTGTCCTCAATAATGGCACATCTTCAACACAAAACAACTAGGCTGGAGAAGAATGCAGCTAAAGTTGGACTGAGGCTGAATGCTGGAAAGTGTAGGATCATGAAGGTGAACAGTAAGAGGGAAGATAAGCTGAAAGTGGGAGAAAGAGAAGTGGAGGAGGTGGAGAGCTTCACATACCTGGGGGCAAGTGTCACTAAAGATGGTGGAGGCACAGCGGATATCAAGAGGAGGGTCGGATTGGCAAGTATAAGGCACAAACAGCTTTCAAACATCTGGATGGCCAGTGACATCAGCAAAAAGACAAAGACTTCTCTGTTCAAAAGCCTCGTACTGTCAGTGCTACTATATGGATGTGAGACATGGAAACTGACAAAGGGAGAAGAAAAGAAACTCGACGCCTTCCAAACGAAGTGCCTAAGGAGGATCTTTAAGATCCGGTGGCAACAGCATGTTTCCAATAAGACAGTGCTAGAGATGGCACAGACAGAGAGGATCAGCGATGAGGTGAGGAGGAGGAGATGGAACTGGATCGGCCATGTGCTGCGAAAGGAGGAGACGAGCGACTGCGCTGTGGCTCTAGGTTGGGCGCCTGAAGGTCGAAGGAAAAGAGGCCGACCTAAAACAACTTGGCGGCAAGTGGCTGAAGCAGAGAGAAACAGAGCAGGATGGTGTTCATGGAACTCAACAAGAAGTGCAGCTGGAAATCGATCCCTGTGGAAAAATGATGTCCTTGCCTTATGTGCCTCCTGGCACAAAGAGAAATGATGATGATGTAGGCTTTAATACACTTAAACAGAAGAGTGAGAAAAAAATCACCCCCTTCAGAGTTGTCATGAGTGTAAACTAGATCATTTAAACCAAAAACATGTTTTGGTACCAGGCTGTAAACATGTTTATTTCTGCTGTGAAAATGACATTTTTAACATGGGAGTCAATGAGGACTTGCTCGCTTCTGACACCAGCCCCTAGTGGATGAGGGTGGAACTGCAATTTATTTCACTTTCGCATTGGCCTCAATTTCTGTCCCGCATTGTGGGGGCTTGTAGCCTGGCAAGCCAGACTAAATAATACATTGACGGCTCTCGGTTGTGGGGCGGGTTCTACCGTTGTCTTTCAAATGATCTCCGCATGCTACTGGACAATGACTGTGACATACTCTTGTTTCACTCTGTTGCATCATCCCACCCACCAGGCATATAGAGTGCCCTGATTGGCCCACAAAGCGGATAAAGCCCTGTGATTTGTTCACTAAGCAGATAGAGCACTATGATTGGCCCACCATTATGGACCAATCACAGCTCTTTATGTGTTTGAAACCCCTCTAGAGAGCTGTGATTGGCCAGCCAGAATGCTGTTGGGGCTGCAGAGGTTCCAGTGGAGCATTCCTAGACCAAACTTTGCAAAGCAAGAATTTGGTCTATTTCACTAGGCTAGGGGGCTTGGGTAAAACCCAGTGAATTTACCACAACGCTGCATTTTAGAAAATGGGTTGAAATATAACATGTTGGTGGAGCTGGGTTTCGACTATCGGTATGGTCCCCACCCCACAGCTCTGCGCATCTCTGATCGCAGCGTCGCTTGTCTGCGGGCTGCCGGCTTGTGGAGCTCTGGGATGGAAACCGATGTTTTCCACCCGGTTCTCCCGTCAGCGGCAGCTCTGCGCATCTCAGATCGCAGCGGCTCCTGACTGCTGTGCGGCTGTCGGCTTGTGGAGCTCTCGGGAGACCTCTGTGTTCACCCCGGTTTTACCCAGCGGTCAGTCCGGCGTATCTATGACTCAGAAGCTCTGGTGTTGTGCACAGTTAACTCTGGTTGTAGCTAGGTTGCTACCTCCATTAGCTTAACTCCCACCTCCGCGTTAGCTTTGGGTTAGCTTCAGGTTAGCTTGTAGCTACATTAGCTTCAGTTTGACCGGTGTTGTCATGTGATCCCAGCCTTACAGCCCCACCCTCAGCTCCACCTCTCTTCCCTTTTATGGAATTACCTGGGCTTGACGGAACCTGTGACACGGTCATAAATGGCAGTAGTAGCCACCTCCCATTTCTCCTCAAAAACGTGTTATTGGAGTCTATGGAAACCCACTGTCCATATATTTCTATGTCGATGCTGTAAACATAAAAACCTGCAGCGAGGGAAAACAGTTCCCCCTTACATGAAATAGCCAATCGTAGGAGAGCCCTACTAGCCAATCAGAGGCGAGAAAGGCAGGACATTCCTTGGACATCCTAGGATTCCAAAAGACGCGGGTCCCTCCCCGGTGTCTACAGAAAGCCTAGAGCATTGACCTGCATAGACACAAGAGGGCGCTGCCAACCACACGAGAATGCAGCCCAGTCCTACCGTGTACGTACTACGAAGTGACGCTGGAGGAAGCTGGAAGTTTGAAATGAAAACGAGAACAAGAACGGAAGTTACTGACTCCTTGACTGGCCTCTACTTCCCCTAGACAATTTTTAAAAGTTTAAAAACCCTTCTTGACTTAGACTGAAATGTCAGCCTGTAAGCTTCATATTTTAGGAAACTGCAGCATCAAAACTTTCTCAGCTGAAGCTGAAAGAACAGGCTGAACTACTGAAAAATATAAATGCCATCCATCTGGGAATTGTGTTTCCTTAACCATTAGTCTCCAGCCTGTAATCTGATAGAACTATTCATTTGTCCACAGTTGAATGGGCAGATTTGTTTTCAGCTACACGGGAAAATATCCAGTCACTATTTAAAGTTTAAACTTATTTTTGAGGTTGTCACAGTTGCTAGGCAACAGGATGTGCCCGTCGTATGGATGGTGATAAATCGGAAGGCTAGACCGTCCAATTTCACAGGCATTCACTTCCGGTCTCCCTGTAAAACAGTGTTTGGCTCCAATACCAGCCTACCTGGACCGGGCAGGTGGGGTCTTGGAAAGGCGCAGCCCCTGAGTTCGAACACAGGCACATGTGTTGCTGGTTAAAGTGCAACAAAGTTCCACATCTGTGGGAACTCATTAAACCTCAGTCCCTTTCGTACCAAAAAATACTAAATGACTGCATGTACCATCAGGGACGAGGGTGGCCGAAGTGGCCGTATCGTAACTTGAGGGTTGGCACGTTGGGAGATAATGTGCGATCAGTTTGCCGTAATCGTGTCCTTGTCCAAAACACTTAAGCCACATGGGGTGGTTAGAGGGACCGGTGGCGCCTCACTCCTGTCAGGGTGCCCCCGGGGCAGCTGTGGCTACATTGGAGCTCATCACCACCAGCATGGAAATGTGTGCATGCAACTGGATGTGTTGCAAAGCGCCTTGTGGGGTATTAAAACCCTAAAATACACCAATTTACCATTGAACCACAACACATCCTTTGACTGTTGGATAACACAAAGTTTTTGTTTCATCCATATTTCTTTTTCCACCATCATCGTTGGTAATCAAGATTCTGCGATTCAGGAGATTTTGAGGATGGCAGGGGTTTCTCCAGCTCAGGTCTGTGTTTTTTCTTAGTGCCTTCTTTTGTTTGTGTTCAGGTCCACACTTGACTTCCTCTCATAAACGTTCGTCGTGTATATTGATTCAATAGAGCGGTGCATTAGTTCGTTGCACCAAAGCAAATGGCCCTTATTGAACATTTTAGGTAAAAATACATTTTCCCATGCTCACATACTCTTTCTAATCAAACTGCCACATTATGGGCTCGACACACGGGAGGCGACATCGCCTCTCCTCCATTCATTTTCAATGAGACATGCGCGACAAAGCGATAATCGCGGGTCTCCCTCCTACTAAGCGAAACGCGAAAAACGTGCGTGTGAAAGTTTGCACTCGTGCACGTGTCGTGCACGGACAACCCAGCGACGCGATCCCAGAAAGTTGAAACATTTTCAACTTTTCATCGCTGTCGCTCGGACGAGGACCAATCAACGGAGGTTTCATTCACTGACCAATGAGCGGGCAGGATGCTCCGTACGTCTCCGAGCAAACATGGAGGAGAAGTTGATTATTATTATGTTTTATAGTAAAACCAGAAGTAAGATTTCACATAACTCTAGCAGCACCTTGTGAAACATCATATCTACCACTTTATTAACTCTGAACCGCTTAAATAACCTTAATTCCCTCCAACCTGACACAGCCAAACAAAACAACGGAAGTTTCGATTTCGCCATGGAACAGAACGCGTAGACGGCTTTGCCGCTCGCCTCCCGTGTGACAGGTAATAAAAGCGACAGCGACAAATTTCGCTGATCGCGGTCGTTTGTCGCCTCCCGTCTGTCGAGCCCATTAAAATCAGTAGCAGCAAACAAACATCTCCTTATAGATTATCAATTTGTCACAGATTTCCATCAAACAACTTCTGTCCTTAAAGCATCCAGATTGAACCTCAGGGTTAGTACCTTCATCAGAAACCTGCCATCTCCAGTAATATATATGTCTACTGCCCCCTGGTGGAGGATTTGCATCTATTTAGAGCCTTTTTTATTTCTTTGTTTCTGTTATATTAACTTCATCTTATGTTTGTCTTCCATCTTAAGCCGAGTTGTTGAGTTACATGAACCTGAAAACAGGTCAAACCAGAATAAAAAAAACTTAAATGTGCCGTTTCTCTTTATCAGATTAGAGTACTTCCTCCAGCTAAATGTCACAGACCTGAGTGTACAGTAGTGACATCTATCAAATAGAAAAAAAATGTTAAACGTAAATTTTGGTCTTTTTATACTGATTACAAATTAAACTGAAAATACTCAATAAGTTTGGGTTCTTTGTTGTTAGGATCTGCTGAAATATCGTAGCTGAGGCAGTTCTTCACATCAAAAGACCTGTATTTACAGTATACTTCAGGAAGTGAAAACCCAGAGTAGTTCTCACCTTCTAATGTAGAACACATGCTGGTTCTTTGTCTTTTGACCCAGATGTTTTGAGTGTGGACTCACCTCAAACTCAGGTTCTGTCCCACTGCTGTAGCTGACAGTGCTGTGAGTGCTTTTGATGCTGAGTCTGTTGCTTTCTGTACCTGATAGAAGAACACATCCAATAAGTTCATGTGAAAAAGAAACCTTTTTTCCCAGTTGATGTGTGTCCTGAATAACGTTAGACCTGGTCTGAAAGTGTGTGCAGGAAAGTGTTTTTTAATTGTCACTCAGATATTATATGTCTGCAGGGTGGAGTGAGAGATACGTGTGTGCGTGACATCTTTCGCTTCAAGCAGGGTTAATTAAAAGGGTTCTAGAACTCCAAACCACACCAAACCTTAATTTGTTGTTGCTGAAAATCTGAAAATAGCCAAAAGGACTATTTTCCGGGCCAATTTCAGGAGCCGACAAAGGACTACCTGAACTGGGGTAGGTATGATTGGTTGTAACTCAGTAGGAAATGATATTGGTAGATGTCCTCATTGCTGGTGAAGCGAAGTAAAAAGAAAAGAAAAAAGGCAGCATTTACGTTAAATACTATAGAAATCCCCCCACAATGATGTATTTCACAGGGCTTTTTCTTCTCACAGAGCACCATAAATGGTAAATGGCCTGTAACTGGCTCTCTGTCCAGGGTGTATGCCGCTTGATTGCCCACTGACCGCTGGAGATAGGCACCAGCCCCCCCCCCCACGACCCTACATGGACAAGAAAAGGCGAAGTCCACCCCCCTTTTCGGGACAACAAAGTAGCGGCTGTACCAACCTTTGTTTGTGTCCTCGAGATGGACCGCTCGATTGGCTTCTTTCAACAGTAGAGTCTGAATTTCCTCCCGTAACACGACCGCAGTGTCTGTATTTACACATGTCTGCACAACACAGGTAAATACGGGTGGTTTTACCAGGAACTGCAGTCGGTAACCAATGGCAACCGTGCACTCGACCCAGGGGGACACTGTGCATGCTCGCCAGAGGTGAAGTTTCGTCGCGAGGCAACCGCTCAGCGCCCTGGTGGCGAGGGAGCTGCAGCCCTCTAGCGGAACGGGAGGCTTTCTAAACATCATGTCTGCCACCAGAGGAAAGCTGTGTTCTCCAGCAGAGCGGGAGAACACAGCTTTCCCCGCTCCCACAGAGGTCAATTGCAGACAGGATTTGATGTTAAAATTGAGCTGTCGTTCACCAGCGGAGTGGGTTGACGCAGCTTTATGGGGCCAATTTGAGAAGCATTGCTGAGACGCACACATTATCGAGTGCAAACAGCAGTCTTTATTACATTTGTGTGCATATTTTTGTAAACAGTACAACTCTCCCCCCCCCCCCCCCCCCCCCCTTGTGGTGGTGAACAAAGTCTTTTTGGACTGTGGGGTTGAACCGTAGCTGAACCGGTCCATTTTAACCATAGAAAACTGGGGTTCTGTAGCCCAACACGGTCCAAAACCCGAACAAGGTCGGTCCGGGGATCAGGACGACTGAGGTTTCTTCTTGCGGCTCGCAGAGCCTTTCTGTGAGTCCCCAGGAGGGCCTTTACTCCAGGCGGGGGGTCCAAGCTGGGACCGAGCCCTTCGCTGCCGCTGGAGAGGCTGTTCTCTGAGGTGGAGGAGGAGAGGTCAGGTTCTTCCTGTCAGACCCAGACCCAGGTGCCGTGCGCCACCATTCCCGCCTGGGGATGATGGAGCGTAGCACCTCAGTCTGTTTCCGCTGGACCTCGAACTTTGTCTGAATAGCATTGCGGGACTGTCCAAACAGACCACTGGGTGAAACAGGCTCGTCCAGGTAGTTAGCCCTGTCCCTGCCAGGGACATTAGAAAGAGTCAGCCACAAGTGTCTCTGAGCCACTACAGTTTAGGCCATACCTCTTCCCAACAGCAGGGCGACGTCTCGGGCCGCCCGCAGGATGTAGTCCGAGTCTGACGTGACCCATATTCCATTGATGAGGGGGGTCAGTGGGCTGTCAGGGGGGACCCCTGCCCCAAGGTCCGCCAGGCAAAGTGCTTGGCAGGTCTGGAGCATGGTGGAAGAGCTGAGGAAGTAGGCAGTGGAGGCCTGCGCGCAGTAAATCTTCTCCAGTTGTGCAGCTGAAAAGCGACATGGCTTGGAGGGTAGATTAGTTTGTCCACTAGCTCCGTTATTGCAGGTCGGAGCTAGGTAAGCCGTGAGAGAGGGCTCCATCGGAGGGAGGTTAACCAATCCCGCCATTTCTGCGCCATCGAGCTCCGAAAACTGACCATAACCCGGGACCGTGGTGCGGGTGGAAAGCGGCTTGGCCCAGGATGACATGAGATCAGCCACAAAATCCAGGTACAGAGACAGAAAGTTCTTTACCTCTGCTGGTTCCAAGGGGAGGTGAAACCCAGAAAAGCGGGACCTCTTTTTTGCAGGTGGAGGAGCGGGCCAGTCCAATTCTAGCCTCCCCGCTGCACGCCAGCAGAGCGGGAGAAAAGAAGTGTCATCACGCAACTTGGAGGCTGAAGTAGCGGCTGGAGCTGAACACTCCACCACTGAGAAGACGTCCTTGTCCTCGAGTAAGTCGTGACCGTCGGGGCAAATGTCCAAAATGTCTCCTTCATCCTCTGCCAGAGGAGGAAACTGAGAAGCCTCTAGGTCTGGTCCGGCTAAATTGTCCGCCATCTCCGTCTGATCTGCCCAGCTAGTAGCGGGGACATCGATCACTAGGCTGTCCACGTAAGAGCCGGGCGTAGCCGGGGCCGAACGAGAAAGCATGGGGTCCAGCTGCCAAACTGCAGCTTCTCCCAGGAGACATTGTAAGAGCTTCACACGCCATTTGAGTGTGGGACGGCGGAGTTGGCGACAGAACTCGCACGCCTCCAGGTCCACAAGCGCCCTCCTGGCGTGAAAAATTCACAGACAAACCGGGCACACTTTGTGCAAGTCCTTCTCATGAAGAGAGAATCCACAGCCCTGAAGACAGGGGCGCGAAGCGGCTTTCCATGAAGCGACGTCCGACATGGTGCTCATTGCGAGACACACAGCGGAGCGAAAGTGGAGAAGCTGAAGAGCCACAAAAGATAGCGCTCGGTGGGCGGGAATGCTAGCCAGAAGGCTGTAGAGTCCAGTCAGTGAGCGGTTAAGCTATCTTTCAATAGCACAGCTAGTTTTCTGATGTGTTCTCATCGAGGTGATGAGCGTAAGAACTGATGAATGACAGTGACGCGGTCGCTTATAAGTGAAGGGCGGGGCCTCCACGCAGCATCACTTTAATTTGCCTTACAGGCGTGATTAAATGTGTCTTCAGCCAGGCCATACGAGGGCGTGATGTCCCATAGTACCTTCATTGTATCGAGTGAATCAACTGAAAGGGAACAACTAGAGTAGTTAGATTACTGAATAAGGTCCTCCGTTTGTTTGGGGAATTTTTCCGTTCGGAGCAACATTAATCAAGTGTTATGTCAAAAAGGGTTTCATCTCCACATGCTGCTTGCTCTCTGCCTGTTTCTGCCTTAAACAGTATTGTGCAACACCATGGTAACAATGACTTTGCCATCCTACAGTGGGGCAAAAAAGTATTTAGTCAGCCACCGATTGTGCAAGTTCTCCCACTTAAAATGATGACAGATGTCAGTAATTTACATCATAGGTACACTTCAACTATGAGAGACAGAATGTGAAAAAAAAATCCATGAATTCACATGGCAGCATTTTTAAAGAAATTATTTGTAAATCAGGGTGGAAAATAAGTATTTGGTCACTTCAAACAAGGAAAATCTCTGGCTCTCACAGACCTGTAACGTCTTCTTTAAGAAGCTTTTGTGTCCTCCACTTGTTACCTGTATTAATGGCACCTGTTTGAACTCATTATCTGTATAAAAGACACCTGTCCACAGCCTCAAACAGTCAGACTCCAAACTCCACTATGGCCAAGACCAAAGAGCTTTCGAAGGACACCAGGAAAAGAATTGTAGACCTGCACCAGACTGGGAAGAGTGAATCTACAATAGGCAAGCAGCTTGGTGTGAAAAAATCAGTTGTGGGAGCAATTATCAGAAAATGGAAGACATACAAGACCACTGATAATCTCTCTCGATCTGGGGCTCCACGCAAGATCTCATCCCGTGGAGTCTAAATGATCATGAGAATGGTGAGCAAGAATCCCAGAACCACACGGGGGACCTGGTGAATGACCTGCAGAGAGCTGGGACCACATTAACAAAGGTCACCACCAGTAACACACTACAACGGCAGGGAATCAAATCCTGCAGTGCCAGACGTGTTCCGCTGCTGAAGCCAGTGCATGTCCAGGCCCAACTGAAGTTTGCCAGAGAGCACATGGATGATACAGCAGAGGATTGGGAGAATGTCATGTGGTCAGATGAAACCAAAGTAGAACTTTTTGGTATAAACTCAACTCGTCGTGTTTGGAGGAAGAAGATTACTGAGTTGCATCCCAAGAACACCATACCTACTGTGAAGCATGGGGGTGGGAACATCATGCTTTGGGGCTGTTTTTCTGCTAAGGGGACAGGACGACTGATCCGTGTTAAGGACAGAATGAATGGGGCCATGTATCGTGAGATTCTGAGCCAAAACCTCCTTCCATCAGTGAGAGCTTTGAAGATGAAACGTGGCTGTGTCTTCCAACACGACAATGATCCCAAACACACCGCCCGGGCAACAAAGGAGTGGCTCCGTAAGAAGCATTTGAAAGTCCTGGAGTGGCCTAGCCAGTCTCCAGACCTCAACCCCATAGACAATCTGTGGAGGGAGTTGAAAGTCCGTGTTGCTCGGCGACAGCCCCAAAACATCACTGCTCTCGAGAAGATCTGCATGGAGGAATGGGCCAAAATACCAGCTACTGTGTGTGCAAACCTGGTAAAGACCTATAGTAATCGTTTGACCTCTGTTATTGCCAACAAAGGTTATGTTACAAAGTATTGAGTTGAATTTTTGTTATTGACCAAATACTTATTTTCCACCCTGATTTACAAATAAATTCTTTAAAAATCCTGCCATGTGAATTCATGGATTTTTTTTCACATTCTGTCTCTCACAGTTGAAGTGTACCTATGATGAAAATTACTGACCTCTGTCGTCATTTTAAGTGGGAGAACTTGCGCAATTGGTGGCTGACTAAATACTTTTTTGCCCCACTGTAGATGTATTTTTTAAACGGGACCATTGTGCAGGAGCCAAATGACCAGATATGCTGCTGTTCTCTACCCATAGTGTGAAGACTCTGGCTTTAAAAATACAACATGGCAAATTCTGAAAACACAATATTTCACTTTATTTATCCAAAGTAGCATACAGAACTTTCCACACCCTTACCCCCCAATGATTCTTCCACTAAGCAAGTGTGTTTACATGCACATCTGAGTCGGTCTAAGGTAGTAAACAAGGAGTCTTTATCCTAGTTTAAATGAAGAAAGCCTAACTCTCAAAGAACGTTTGTTCCACTCTATTACGGTAGGTGGCGTCAGGCGTCCTTTCATATCGTCATGCTTCTGGGCAACACAGAAACAAATGCTGGCGGGAGTGAAGCAGATGGAGTTGAAACCAGATTTGCACAATGGCCGAAGGAATTGACGACCATGCTGCAGCACAGCTTACTTGGTACCCGCTTTACTGTTTGGTGTTACACGTGTTACATTGCCGTGATGATATTATCGGTAGATTACTTCCGCGGTCTCGTCACTTTGGAGAGTAACCGGTATCAGCTCGATTGATCCGTGTACATGCAGATGAAATCGGGCTCCTACTGCATTTTCTGGGTGCTTCAGTTCGTTTAGAAGCAGATCAACATGTTTACATGAATTAACCTTCTGGAGGCAGGCGTTGCAGATTAGCAACGTTAAAACCTACCTACACGGTTACTCCACATACGTATTTCATGAGCATTTTTTAACTCAGAAGTTCCCCTGAAGGACTTAGTTGTTCGTCCTTTTATCAAAACTTATTTTGAGTCTGAGAGGGTTAAAAAAAAAAAACGTCGGCCTTTTTAGGGACAACGTTTGGTTTTCTGACGCACATGTAAAAGCTCGTGTTATGCTTAGGACTCACTAGATGTGCTGGAGGTGCTGCCGGTCTTCCAGCTCCCTCTCTGGATGGGCTGAGCTGTGGGAGGGGGTTGGGACATCATTCTGGGTGTAGGTTCATACACATCACACTGTACTGTCATGTTGGAGGAAAAGTGTGAGTTCCTCAGCAGGGGAGCACTAATTTCATATTCTGATGGAACAAAGAACAAAAGTTGCGGTCGTTTTAGTTAGCATGTCTCAATTCGTAATGTAGATCTTAGATTATTGCCAAAACAAAATCACACCAATTTCTTTTCCTGACTTTTCTCTCTCCTTGTGCCGCCTGGTGATGCTGTCCCGTAATTTCTTGATGTTTTCCTTTCAGAATGAACAATATTTTGTTAGATTGGTTGCTTACTATCCAAATCCAAAGATTTTTCAAAGGTGATCCACCTGTTGATAGCGGAAGGAGCTCGCTCGACCCTCATGGTTAAACTGCCAGGCTTTGAATTCCTGCACAGCCTCGTCCACAGTGATCTCCCCCACTTTCACCCTCTCCTGGAGACAGATGAGCTGTCTCTGTCCCGGCGTCTTCATGCCAGCATAGGGATCGTAAGTAGAGGGGAGAGGTTCACCGATGAGCTGAGCTAAAGGGGGGGTGAAGTCAGATGTTAGGCGAGAAACACCATGTCTACAAACTTCTGCTCCAGTCTGGTTTTGGTCACCATAGCAACCACAAACCTGTGAGACACAGGCACAAATGCATCAACACAAAAACTTAGGCTTTGGCTGTCGGTGACACGACACAAAATTGTGAGAAAATGCAAACGGTTTTAGTCGGAAACAAGCTGAATTGTAGCAGGTTTTATAAACGGCGTCCTCATTGCCACGTGGGGCACATGTAACCACAAACATGATGATTTTTTACTCCACAGACGTGCAAGTTTGCTTGTTGTAGTTACGTCTCAATTTGATTGCAATGTTTGTTTTCCGCTGCCGTCTTATGTTGCCTCACATTTCTCATACTTTCTGACTCAGAAGCCAAACTTAGAAGGTTTGAGAAGTTCGTTACGGCGTGTAAAGGCTCCACGTCTCTCTCAGAGGAAGTAACTCACCCGAAAAACATGCTAACATATCTAGCAAGAAGACTTCTTACAACTTGCCCCAAAACATGCATTGACTGCACTGAAATCTGAAAACTGCTTCTGGTAAAATCGTCTACTAAACAATTAAAAAGTGGGGTGCTGACTTCATAAAATAAAACATCTGAGTTTTCCTAATTCAACTGTTTAGAGCAGGGGTGTCAAACTCAGTTTAGCTCAGGGGCCACATTGAGGGAAATCTAGTCCCAAGTGGGCCGGACCGGTAAATAAAAAAATACTTCAGATTGTTTTCTTTGTTTTAATACAATCAATATAAAACAAGGCTGGAGCCTGCGGACAGTGTAGTACAAGTACAACACCGGAAGTGTACTTGAAAATTTGAAAAAAATAAAAATAAAAAAAATAAACAAATAAAAACATTCCTTAGTGATTCAGAGCTTACAGATCACATGGCAAGATCAGTTTCATGCAGCACTTAAAGTATATTTGACTCATTTTACTTTACATCTTTTAGCTTTCACCAGCACATCAATATCAGAAGTCACGTCCTGAGTGGCGGCCAACTTCAGGATGTGATTCAAGTTCTTGTGTGAGCCTTGAGCGCAGCTTTGTTTTATTTATACTCATTACAGAGAAAACTTGCTCACAATGATAAGTTTATTTTCACTCTACATTGTAAAGTATGAAAATAAAGTTTACACAACCATCTCGCGGGCCGGATTTAACCCGCTTGTGGGCCGGATTCGGCCCGCGGGCCACATATTTGACATCCCTGGTTTAGATGGTCTTGAGATTCTACCTGTGTATTCTAGCCTAGAAGGAAGCTAATGTAGGTAGATTTATACCTTCGACATCTCAGTTTGAAATAAACAGACGTGGGACAGAAAGTGTGAGGTTGTATCTCGTTGACAATGTCATCGCAGTGTCAGAACTGCAGGGTTCTGTTTTTACTTTAAGCTGCGAGAGTGGTGTAAATAATAGCTCAACCCTGTGTCTCACTTCAGAAACACCACAATGCAGACGGGTTCAGAGTCAGAGTGTGGTTCCATTTAAAAAAACACTAACGTGTGAAATAATCTGGGTCTCTTTGGGTCAGACACGGGTGAACGTATTCTGAGGTGAATAGTATCACATGTGAATCCGAGCCACTTCCCTCTCTGGCCATTTGAAAAAACTATTTCCTTTAAAGGAACAACGACATAACGGAGATTCTTCTCATTTGGTCCAAATCCAGTTTAACAAAATTAGACCACCTTTTCCTGACAGAACCTGTTTGTTTGTAGCATTGGGCTGCGTACTTCGATCGTATTCACCTCCTAACTTTAACCCGCTGACATTCCCTTCTGCTCGGTTTTCACCAAAGGATAGTAGAGGCACATGAGTTTGTCTGCCTGACAGCTGATTGGATCAAACTGGGTCATTAAAGGGTGGATAATCACAAAATCAGCAGCAGGTCCACAGCAGTATGAACCCAGTCAGAAAGTCTTGGGTAAATAACTAAAGATAGTTCATTTCTTTTTTATCTGGGTGGGAAAATAACTTTAAAATCTGGTGAGAATTGAATTTCTGTTTAATGTTGTGCTGAAATGTAAAGCATCAGAAGAGATGGATGGATGAAGTAATGGATGGATGGATGGATGGATGATGGATGGATTAATGGATGGATGGAGTGCTGAAATGTAAAGCATCAGAAGAGATGGATGGATGAAGTAATGGATGGATGGATGGATGGATGATGGATGGATTAATGGATGGATTAGTGGATTGATGGATGGATGGATTAATGGATGGATGGAGTGCTGAAATGTAAAGCATCAGAAGAGATGGATGGATGAAGTAATGGATGGATGGATGGATGGATGATGGATGGATTAATGGATGGATAGATGGATGGATTAATGGATGGATTAATGGATGGATGAAGTAATAGATGGATGGATGGATGGATTAATGGATGGATTAGTGGATTGATGGATGGATGGATTAATGGATAGATGGAGTGCTGAAATGTAAACCATCAGAAGAGATGGATGGATGAAGTAATGGATGGATGGATGGATGGATGATGGATGGATTAATGGATGGATAGATGGATGGATTAATGGATGGATTAATGGATGGATGGATGGATGGATGGATGGATGGATGGATGGTGGATGGATTAATGGATTGATGGATGGATGGATGGATGGATTAATGGATGGATGGAGTGCTGAAATGTAAAGCATCAGAAGAGATGGATGGATGAAGTAATGGATGGATGGATGGATGGATGATGGATGGATTAATGGATGGATGGATGGATGGATGATGGATGGATGGATTAATGGATGGATAGATGGATGGATTAATGGATGGATGGATGGATGGATGGATGGTGGATGGATTAATGGATGGATGGAGTGCTGAAATGTAAAGCATCAGAAGAGATGGATGGATGGATGAAGTAATGGATGGGTGAACTAATGAATGGATGGCTCAATTGTTGGATGGATGGATGGATGGATTAATGGATGGATGGATGGATGATGGATGGATGGATTAATGGATGGGTAGATGGATGGATTAATGGATGGATGGATGGATGGATGGATGGATAAATGGATGGGTGGATGATGGATGGATGGATGGATGGATTAATGATGGATAAATGGATGGATGGATTAATGGATGGATAAATGGATGGATGGATTAATGGATGGATAGATGGATGGACTAATGGATGGATGGATGGTTAAATGGATGGGTGGATGATGGATGGATGGATGGATGATGGATGGATTAATGGATGGATAAATGGATGGATGGATTAATGGATGGATAGATGGATGGATGGATTAATGGATGGATAGATGGATGGACTAATGGATGGATGGATGGTTAAATGGATGGGTGGATGATGGATGGATGGATGGATGGATGATGGATGGATTAATGGATGGATAAATGGATGGATGGATAAATGGATGGATAGATGGATGGATGGATTAATGGATGGATAGATGGATGGATGGATTAATGGATGGATAGATGGATGGATGGATTAATGGATGGATAGATGGATGGACTAATGGATGGATGGATGGTTAAATGGATGGGTGGATGATGGATGGATGGATGGATGGATGGATGGATGGATGGATGGATGGATGGATGGATGGATGGATGGATGATGGATGGATTAATGGATGGTTAAATGGATGGGTGGATGATGGATGGATGGATGGATGGATGATGGATGGATTAATGGATGGATAAATGGATGGATGGATAAATGGATGGATGGATTAATGGATGGATAGATGGATGGATGGTTTAATGGATGGATAGATGGATGGACTAATGGATGGATGGATGGTTAAATGGATGGGTGGATGATGGATGGATGGATGGATGGATGGATGATGGATGGATTAATGGATGGTTAAATGGATGGGTGGATGATGGATGGATGGATGGATGGATGGATGGATGATGGATGGATTAATGGATGGATTAGTGGATTGATGGATGGATGGAGTAATGGATGGATGGAGTGCTGAAATGTAAAGCATCAGAAGAGATGGATGGATGAAGTAATGGATGGATGGATGGATGGATGATGGATGGATTAATGGATGGATAGATGGATGGATTAATGGATGGATTAATGGATGGATGAAGTAATAGATGGATGGATGGATGGATTAATGGATGGATTAGTGGATTGATGGATGGATGGATTAATGGATAGATGGAGTGCTGAAATGTAAACCATCAGAAGAGATGGATGGATGAAGTAATGGATGGATGGATGGATGGATGGATGGATGATGGATGGATTAATGGATGGATAGATGGATGGATTAATGGATGGATTAATGGATGGATGGATGGATGGATGGATGGTGGATGGATTAATGGATTGATGGATGGATGGATGGATGGATTAATGGATGGATGGAGTGCTGAAATGTAAAGCATCAGAAGAGATGGATGGATGAAGTAATGGATGGATGGATGGATGGATGATGGATGGATTAATGGATGGATGGATGGATGGATGATGGATGGATGGATTAATGGATGGATAGATGGATGGATTAATGGATGGATGGATGGATGGATGGATGGATGGATGGTGGATGGATTAATGGATGGATGGAGTGCTGAAATGTAAAGCATCAGAAGAGATGGATGGATGGATGAAGTAATGGATGGGTGAACTAATGAATGGATGGCTCAATTGTTGGATGGATGGATGGATGGATTAATGGATGGATGGATGGATGATGGATGGATTAATGGATGGATAGATGGATGGATGGATTAATGGATGGGTAGATGGATGGATTAATGGATGGATGGATGGATGGATAAATGGATGGGTGGATGATGGATGGATGGATGGATGATGGATGGATTAATGATGGATAAATGGATGGATGGATTAATGGATGGATAAATGGATGGATGGATTAATGGATGGATAGATGGATGGACTAATGGATGGATGGATGGTTAAATGGATGGGTGGATGATGGATGGATGGATGGATGGATGATGGATGGATTAATGGATGGATAAATGGATGGATGGATTAATGGATGGATAGATGGATGGATGGATTAATGGATGGATAGATGGATGGACTAATGGATGGATGGATGGTTAAATGGATGGGTGGATGATGGATGGATGGATGGATGGATGATGGATGGATTAATGGATGGATAAATGGATGGATGGATAAATGGATGGATGGATTAATGGATGGATAGATGGATGGATGGATTAATGGATGGATAGATGGATGGATGGATTAATGGATGGATAGATGGATGGATGGATTAATGGATGGATAGATGGATGGACTAATGGATGGATGGATGGATGGATGATGGATGGATTAATGGATGGATAAATGGATGGATGGATAAATGGATGGATGGATTAATGGATGGATAGATGGATGGTTAAATGGATGGGTGGATGGATGGATGGATGATGGATGGATTAATGGATGGATAAATGGATGGATGGATAAATGGATGGATGGATTAATGGATGGATAGATGGATGGTTAAATGGATGGGTGGATGATGGATGGATGGATGGATGGATGATGGATGGATTAATGGATGGTTAAATGGATGGGTGGATGATGGATGGATGGATGGATGGATGATGGATGGATTAATGGATGGATAAATGGATGGATGGATTAATGGATGGATAGATGGATGGATGGATTAATGGATGGATAGATGGATGGACTAATGGATGGATGGATGGTTAAATGGATGGGTGGATGATGGATGGATGGATGGATGGATGATGGATGGATTAATGGATGGTTAAATGGATGGGTGGATGATGGATGGATGGATAGATGGATGGATGATGGATGGATTAATTGATGGTTAAATGGATGGATGGATAAATGGATGGATGGATTAATGGATGGATAGATGGATGGATTAATGGATGGATGGATGGATAAATGGATGGGTGGATGATGGATGGATGGATGGATTAATGGATGGGTGAATGGATGGATGGAACCAATGACCTTGAAGCATCTCTTGGAGAGACAAAACTTTACCTGTACTGTATTCTCCTTCCAGCTGTCTACTCGGGGATGAACCTTTATCTGAAAAAACTAAAGATAACAGCTGAAGTAAATACATCTCTTTAATATTATATATAACTTTGTTTAAACTGATATCAGCTGAAACAATTACAATGACTCACAAATTGAACATTTATAAGAACATTTTAATCTGTTTTTGCAAATAAACTTTTCATTTATTGATATAAAACTGCAAAAATACCTCTAGAAATGTAGTTTGTGGGTGGTTCAGGCTCCGACTCAGATTCTGGTCTGGGGATGGGGGCTGGTGGACGGTTCAGGATCGCCGGGTTATAAGTGCTGTTTCCATCCACCGTATCATAAATGTCCTCCGGGAAAATGTTATACGGGTCCTCCTCCTCCTCTATTAGATCAAAGTCCCTGCGTTCGTCTTTCCCCTCCTCGTGTTTGAGGGGAAGGTTGTTGTCTTTATGCTCAGAAGTTTGTGGTGTTGCTGTTGAAGGTGAACGTGTGTGAACGGTGGGTTGTTATTTACCGTAAACAATCTGTGAATTACAAAAGTATACCTTGGAAAAACATCCGGAGCAACGCCTCCTCTGGATTCTTATCCACTGCAGTCATCACCTCATCTAAAAAAATGTTTGAATCAAGTTGAGACAAAACAAAATAAAGCCTTGTAGGACGTTTGATAAAAATAAACATGAATACTTTGATCTTACAGAGGTCTTCTGCACAGTTAGGGTCGATCCCAACCATTGATTCATAAATTTCCTCAGAGCAGCTCGGGATTTTCATGTCTGTTGCTGTATGCGACATCGGCTCGTATACCTCAGCATCATTCTCTAAGTTTGTGTCGTCCCCACAGGATGGCTTTAGAATGTTTTCTGTCTCCTGGATTCATTTAAAGACCAGAAGACACTTTTAAAAAGGCGGGATGTCAAACCAATCCTAAACTACATGACCGAGGGTCCTGGCTGCACTTACAACAAAGTCATCCAACAGCTGTCTGAGGTGATTGAAGCCGCTCTTCTCTGCCAGCGTGTTTGGGTAGTCTCCATTCTTGTTGCTCACGCTGTAAGCCTGCAGCGCCCCGGGACACTGGAGGAGAAGCAAGGTGAGCTTCCTCAGGCCGTATCGGGCGGCAAAGTGGAGCAAAGTGGGAAACTCCTCAGCGCGTTGATCTTAAACACAAAAGTAAACAACCGTCGATCGTGAGAAGGCCAAACGAGTGAAGCAAGACATCAGATCGCTGAGCTCACACGCAGACATGTTGTCTTCTTCGATCTGGTGGACTCCAAACAGCTGAAGACCAATTTCAGGCATCTTGGATTTTAATGAGTCAGTTAGCAAAGTGTCCAGTGATTCAGTCGCGTTGGAAGAAAGGTCAAAAGCCTGAAAGTAAAGAAAATAAATAATTAGATATGTTCCATCAGCGCTACAAACTGAATAACTTTACCTCACCTGGCAGATGAAGTCCACGGGGTCAACAGCTTTCTCCAGGTATCGGCTGACTTCTCCCATACTTGTGTGAAACGTGACCGTCTTCAGGCTGACACGTGACTGGTCGGTGTAGAGAGTCAGTGATGTAATGCCGGCTGGCATGTCTAGAGGTAGAAAGAATAAAAATATCCTTAAAGAGATGCAGATCGACCGACACCTTTCAGGCTAGAGAGGCTGAAACTTTTCGGTCAAGCTTAGAAAGTCCAAACTCACAAGAAAGGTTCAACCATTCATTTTCACTCAGAGTTTGTTAAAGAGCGTCAGATACTAAACACGACGTCAAAGCTCCGCCTCTTCTAGAGCGATTGCCTTTTAGTCATTTCTGGGTCTGTTGATGCTGACTGCACTCATTTACACACACACATACATGCACGCATTTACACACACACATACATGCACGCATTTACACACACACATACATGCATACATTTACACACACACATACATGCACGCATTTACACACACACATACATGCATACATTTACACACACACATACATGCACGCATTTACACACCCACCCACACACATGCACTCATTTACGCTCAGACTCGTGCATGCATTTACGCACCCACACACATGCACTCATTTACACACACACACATACATGCACGCATTTATGCACACACACACACCTGCACGCATTTACACACACACCCACACACATGCACTCATTTACGCTCAGACTCGTGCATGCATTTACGCACCCACACACATGCACTCATTTACACACACACACACTTGCATGCATTTACGTATAGACACATGCACGCATTTACGCACACACACACCTGCACGCATTTACGCACACACATACCTGCACGCACTTACGCACACACACACATGCACGCACTTACGCACACACATACCTGCACGCACTTACGCACACACACACCTGCACGCATTTACGCACACACACACCTGCACGCATTTACGCACACACATACCTGCGTGCATTTACGCACACACATACCTGCACGCATTTACGCACACACACACCTGCACGCATTTACGCACACACATACCTGCGTGCATTTACGCACACACATACCTGCACGCATTTACGCATAGACACCCTGCACGCATTTACGCACACACATACCTGCACGCATTTACACACACACACACCTGCACGCATTTACGCACACGCACACCTGCACACATTTATGCACAGACCCTCATGCAAGCATTTACGTGCACACATACCTGCACGCATTTACGCACATACATACCTGCACGCATTTACGCACACGCACACCTGCACGCATTTACGCATCAGTGCAAAACCACAACACCAGTTCACAACACGCTCCTGTGTGCACGCACACGCACGGACACACACACAGTTTGATGGAAGGATTTCTATCCAATCAGTGAGAACAGGACGTGCACATTGATTGGACGAGGTTATTCTATGATTGTACGTTTCAATTGTGATTAAAATTATTCTTTATTTTGGAAAACAAATGTTAGTTTTTAGATGCCATCAGCATGTGAGGTATCTCAATGTTCTCATGACAAAACTCTAACATGAGACTGTGCTCTAACCTGTCACATAACAAGCTAAATGAAAGTCAAACATTTCAGATGGACCGTATGACAGCTGCTAACGTTGGCCCTGCCCTACTTTACCTCTACATTACAGTTCCTTTATCCATGTCCATCCTAGAGCTCCTCTCTGACCTTCATGCTTATTTAGAGCAGCTGATTTTTAAAGTTAGCAGAGTTCATCCTTGGTAGTGGGTTCACTCACTCATTTAAAGATATCGGCCAGAGGCAAAATTCGCTTGAACAGCATGTGTAAATGTGTATTAAAACCTCAGATGAAAAAGGTTTTTGGATTTTGATGGCTGGAATTGTAAGAAAATCTGATGTTTGTGACCGGCGCAGGAAAAACAGAAACTAACTTTCGGTCTAAGCCCTGGGCAGCTGGTGGTGTTTCACATGGAGCTCTGCTGAAACAGCTGTAGTAAACAACGCCTGACTCCGGTGTTTCTGCGTTAGCGTTATAGCGGAGAACATTGTGTCATCAGTCAGATGTAGCTTCTGAAGCCTCTACTAGTCCATCAGATTTGTTTTTTCTCTGGGATACGGCGACCAGAACGGATGTTGGATTACTGGAGAAGTTCAACCGAACTCCGACCCCGCCAGCTGGATATCACTACCAGAGGTGCAGACATGTTTTAGACCGTTTGACTCAGAAGATCTGCGACCCGATTTGGACATAGAGGAGGATTCTGTTCATCTTCAGAACCAAAATCGGTACAGTTTGTTTACTTTTCTTAAATATTTCATTTCTGTGCTCCACTGGGAGCTCTAAGCTGACGAGTTCTCAGCTGGTCTTAGCTCCATCATGTGTCCCAATATAGTTCAGTAATCTACAGTTTTACTGCTGTGTGTTTTTATTGATATAACTCTGGAAAATATTTAACCAACAATTTATCAGAATAAATCTTCCTGATGCTGGAGTAACTCCTTAGCTCAACTCGTTGTTTGCACTAATCCAGGATGTCATGGAGGTTCTAATGTTGAAATATAGAGATCATCTTTTAGATTATATGTGTGTGTGTGTGTGTGTGTGTGTGTGTGTGTGTGTGTGTGTGTGTGTGTGTGTGTGTGTGTGTGTGTGTGTGTCGTAGCTTTCCCAAAGGCCTTGTTCTTTCCTTACCGGAGCTAACACGGTTAGCAGTTTTGCTGCAGTCATGCTAACGGGACTTGTCTAGAGTCCAGAAGTAGCGGTGCGGTTCTAGATGGATGTATAGATGTAGGTTATTATTTTAGATCAGACCTGTAGGACACGGACAAATGGCTCAGACCTTTTGCTGCAGCCGTAAACACAATTTTATGTAATAATTAGGAGCATGAAAGTAAACAAACAGTGATTCACAATGCTAGCATCATCAGCTATCTTGTTTTACGTGCTGGAGTAAGGTATGCGAAACACAGTTCTTCACTGTCTGGAGGAGAGGATTTGGATTTTCTGTAATGATTTATGACAAAAGTCCTTAACAAAATAAAATACTGAACCCAGTACATGTTTATATAGATATTAAAGTGTAGTTATTTTGCATTTCTACAATTTTAATGCCGAGCCAATACCTTTAACCCTTCAGCACTGAAATCATTTTGTTCGTTCCAATCCTCCTAAATAATCCTCCAATTATCCAGCTGGAATCCTGAAGGGTCCCGTAACGTCCATCCTGTCAGAACAGGCCTTGGGAGCCCAGGTGTTACTAGAACTAATGGTGTCTCCTCACCAGCGTGAGCCTCCAAACTGTGAAGGTTGGTCTCCAAACATGAACTTTAAATTCATGCATTTATCTCCTCTTGTAACACTTTAACATGTTTTAAAAGGCTTGTATCATGATATGTTACACCTCCCAGACCAAAGATAGGTCCAAGATAAGATAAAACATTATCATAAACACTGTAGAGACATCATTATGTATGAAATACAGTATACGTTATTTTCCTGAGCCATTACTTCAGCCAAGATATAGGATGCATGGATTTGATGAAACCATGCTGTCTCATGCAGTCCTATATGTGTAACACACACACACACACACACACACACACACACACACACACACACACACACACACACACACACACACACACACACACACACACACACACACACACACACCATGTCTAATTTAACTACACTGAACTGCTTTCGTAATAATTTAATCTCTTATTCTGGAGTAAAATAAAGAAACAAGCTAAATCATCACATATCGGTGGCATCAAGAAGCATCTTCTGAGTTCAAACACAGGGATGGAGCACAATGTTTACACCTGAACAGTATCAGGATTAACTCACAGAGGCTGCAGGTCTTCTGTTTTATGAGCAGAGCGCTGATAATCGGCTTCTTAGGAGCGCTAAACGTTATTTTGCCGCTTCCGTGCGGAGCGGTAGAGAAACACAATTCAAACACGAAACCGAGCAGAATTCTGATGACGTCACACCGGCGTGCAAAGGTGCGGGTTCCAACCCACAGGAGAGGAGGTAAACAGCGAGTGGATCACAGGCACTGAACTGATGTTTTAGAGCAAAACTGCGGTAAAAATGGCTGTTTGTCCTCATTAATCTGTGTTAAAGAGAGCTATGTGCGGTTAGATGCGGCGCTCATGCAGGTGCCTCTTTCGGTGCCGATGCTGCTACACGCAATATTTTTAATTTATTAAGCCTACAATTTATTTTTACTCAGTAACGGATATGATTTAAAATGTAGCGAATTACAATTATTTTTTTAAAAACGTTCTCAAGTAAAAGTAAAAGTAGAGATTTAAAAAAACGACTTAAAAAGTATAAATATACAAAAAAGCTACTCAATTACAGTAAAGTGAGTAGATGTAATTCGTTACTTTCCGCCTCTGCATACCCGCATGCATTTACGCAGACACATGCACATAACGCATTTAGCACACACATACCCGCATGCATTTACGCACACACACACACACCTGCACACATTTACGCACACACACACACCTGCACACATTTACGCACACACACACACACCTGCACACATTTACGCACACACACACACACACCTGCACGCATTTACGCAGACACGTGCACGTAACGCATTTACGCACACACATACCCGCATCCATTTACGCACACACACACACCTGCACACATTTATGCACACACACACACACACACACACACACACACACACACACACACACACACACACACCTGCATGCATTTACGCAGACACATGCACATAACGCATTTAGCACACACATACCCGCATGCATTTACGCACACACACACACACACCTGCACGCATTTACGCACACACACATACCCGCATGCATTTACGCACACATTTAAGCTGCTTATGACGTGTTTCCTGCAGGTAGACTCACCAGGTGCAGCAACACTTATCGTGTATTCATTTTCCACATTGGCTGGCACCTTCTCTGAAGCTCCATTTTCAGATGAAAACTCCACCTCTGGTGCTGTCCCATAATGCATTTTGGTTGAGAAAATGATGAAAAGTGTCTCTGGCTCCTAAAAAAGAAATATGAGATGCTGAACAGATGAGCATCATCATCAGAAGCACATAATCTTGAGTCTTACCCCACACAGGACCCTGCTGGGTTGGATGGTCAGGCAGTTTTGGTGACTGGGAGACGGGTTTTCTTGGCTTGTTGACTTCTTCTCCTCCATCAGGATTGTTAAACTTGGGTTTTCCGATGCCACTTCCGTGTTTTTGTCTGTGGTGGGATTTTCAGGGGAAGGTGCTGCTTTTATGCCCATCTTTGCTGAGGTTTCTCTCCCACTTTTAGATGCTGCTCGTTTACCTTTTGATGAGGAGAGAAACAAATTTAAAATAATTTCTTAAAATTAGTATTTTTTTAATCAAAAGTATTTAGGAGACACTTGATGTTATTATTTGAAGGTGTTTGTTAGTGTCTCAAACCCGCTAACGACGCTTATGGTTGAAGGATTGATAAAAATTAATTATGTGCGTTCTGGTATAAAATCTGAATTTCGGGGGCCTTTAAAGGTGAAATTTGTAGGACTGACATACTGTGGTCAAATATGGCTTCTGCAGTCCATTTTTTGAGCAAAAATGTTATTCTTGTTCTGCGAGTTTCATGGCTGTTGCCAGTTACAGATTCAGGTTTCCTCCAGCACTTTATAAGCCTGGCGGCCCGCCAGGCATTGCTTGGCCACCCGCCAGACTAAGCGTCATGCCCCGCCCCCCACTCCGACCCTACAGTGTCCGCTGACACGAACGGCGCAGCAAAACTAGAGCCCTGTACAGGTTCTGAGCTAATACTGGTGAGAAACAGCAGCGGAACATGTGCAACCCCCCCACCCCCCACCCCACCTCTCACGGAGGAGCGCTGCGGGACGGAGCACGTGACACCCCCCATCCCCAGGCTTTTTCTGGGGGAAACCCTGCAGATCATTTATCAAGCTCGCTTACGCACAAAACGGGATCGGAAAACTGCGAAAGCAACTTTCCACGTAAACTTTGGGATTTATAAACGAAAACGTAGCGGAAAAATGTGCGCAACTTTAAGTTGACTAAGGACCTGGCTTAAGCACATGTTGGACATGGAGAGCACCTGCAGTGCTGCTGCTGAGAAGATACAATTATCACTTGTACCGCTTTGTGTTCACACAGAACAACATTTATGCCACAACATAGGAAACCACTGCACAGTTAAATAATAATACAGTCATCATTACTGTCGGTGATGGATTCCAGAATGGTGGAAATGTAAACCGCCGGTTCATCATCAGCATAGAGTTTTCTCCATGTCGGCCAATCCCGGAAACTCCCAGTGGAGACGTCATCCTCGGACACCCCACACAGCAATGTCACCACCTTGTGTGGAGGGCGGAGGAGTTCCTGGAGCGCTCCGTGCAGCTCTCGGTCGAAGAGGATGTCTAGGAACAACCCCGTGAGAAGCAGCACGATGCAGCTGCAGCTTTGGAAGTTGTCAAAGTTGTAACCGTGGAGCCGATCGGCGGGGCTCACGGTGTACAGCAAAATTGACTCTTTGTTGAACTTCTGAGATGATTTTAAGATCTGCTGCAAGTACGTGGCCCATTCCTGAGCTTCGTCGGTGTGTAGAATCAGCAGCTCGTAGGACTCTGAGGCTCCTGCAGAACAGAACAGAGAACAGGCGTCATGACCAGGTCAGAAGAGAGGTCTGCTCAGAAACATCACACTAATGACGTGCCACTAGTGATAATATTTGTGGGTTTCCACGCTGCAGCAGGTTGTGTTTGTCGTGGAAAGGCTCCACAACGCAGCACCTGTCCAACTGTGGAATGTCAAGGTGACTGTGGTCGGGAGAATGAATGTCCCCACTGTTTGGGATTTCAGAGCGGAGCCAACAAGGAGCCGAGCAAACAGCGAACTGTGTCAACACTGATCGGAGTGATTCAGGTCGACTCATTACAGCGTTTAACCGGGGCCAGTTCACCCCTGAACACGCTAACTGGGAGAGAAACCCAACACAAGCCGTCACCTTCATCACCGCTGAGACACGTCTGCTTGTGAAACGCCTAAATGTGGGAGATGTTTAATCTCACAGGATGCAGTTATACTTTGTTCCTCTTTTAAAAGTCAGAGTGGATCATTTTCACCAGAGAATCCAACAAAATCCTTCAAAATAAGCCTATTTATTCAGAATGATGACAGTTTTCCAATAGATACGTGTTTTTGGTTTACACGTATACTTTTACACCATCCTGGTGAACATCATAGATCTCGTATTTACCTGATTCAGGACTTGAGATGAGCTTTTCCATCGTTTTGGCTCAAATATGTCCAAAATCATCCCAAAAGCAGCGAATTTCCACCAGAATATTTCCTTTTGCTTCGGTGAACTCACCGGAGCTTTGCGTCTCACCACCTCACACCAAACTATCTATGAGCAGCTTCAGCCCTTTGCTCTGTTGTATAAATAGCAACACTTAGTTTCCTGATTTTGGTAGCTCTGCCCCACTTCCTGAAACAGTTGAAGAAGTGAGAAACCGTGCTGCTGTCATGGCAAAAAGTGCAACACGTCTGCAGTTATGTGCTGTTTGTCGTAAAGTACCAGGAAAATTTGGGCTTTTTTGAGGTAAAACGGATTTAAAGCAGTAACAGTAAAGTAATAACTTTGTGTTTTAGACCTGAGAAGAGATACAGGCACGGTGTCCTATGTGAGCAGCGTTTTCAGGCACTCTTTTGTTCTCTTTTATCCAAAATAATGCACAAACATCCATTCACCTGTTGTGACGATTGCATGCTGCTTCCGTTTTTCCACTTCCTTAACAAGATGCAGATCTTTGGGAACGTTTCAGGGTTCAAACCTGTGGCTGACATTTAAAATCTCGCTTATCAAAGAGACAATAACGCTCGATATGTGTGGCAACAGTTTAAACTCCACTGTGGTGCAGATATCAAAGTTAATGAAGAACCTGATCATAAAACCTGTTTAAGCACTCAGATGCAAAGTTTCTTACATGCAGAAGTCTAACGTGACGAATACAAGAGGGACGCGCAGTGTTATTGCTGAGAGGAATTTTCGTGTTTCCTTCAGAGAAAACATTTTATCAGCTCTAGAATGACAGCATCTCCCCCACCACCCTCCAGTTACATCTGTCCAGGTGAGGAGAGAACAGGGGCGGCTGGTCCTGACGGGATCAGCTTTGTGACGTGGTCACGCACATGGTCAACCTGAGCCTTCAGCTGGAGCAGGTCTCCATCCTGTGTTTGGTTCCAGGTCCCAAAACATCACATCCCAGGGAACCAGACCACTGCAGTCGCCTTGAACTCCCATCTGATGAAGAACTTGGAAAGACTCGTCCTCACCCATCTACGTTCAGTGGTGAGACCAGAAATAGACCCACTGCTATTTGCATATAAACCACGCAGGCAGGGTCTGAAATTAAAATTTTTACTCACCGGCCAAGTTGGCCGGTAGATGATGAAAATCTACCGGCCAAGCATATTTTTTACCGGCCAAAATTCTAAATGATTTAGATCTACCTAAAGCATGTAATTCTATATTATGTTGATTCCAAACAGAGTGACAAAATAATTAAAACATCAATTAATAAGATAAACAACTCTTGTCATTTTTACTATTTATTTATTTATTTATTTTTAGAGGCGTTTTTATGAACTCTTTCATTGAAATCTAGTCAGACTCCTTGTTTTCTCTGTCCATGAAGTCTGGCCTCCTGCTTCTGACACCGTCTTTGTGCCAAAGCATTACAGCCTCATTTGGGTCCTAGTCCTTGGTCTCTGGAGAACACAGCTGCACCATGAGAATATCTGAAAGTGTGTCAGGGCTAGGGTTGTCACGGTAACCGGTGTAGCGGTAAACCTCAGTAAAAAAGTTGACAATAATAATTATCGTCTTGTTTTTTAAAATATGTATTATCTCTGTGCATTTCCGTGGCTGCGGTGTAGACGCGGTGACCCTTACCAGCCACCGTATCATCTGCTGAAGTTGCCGGCGGCACAGGCGCACTTTGTTGTTTACAACCAAAACTTTCTTGAAGCTAAAGCTGAAATAACGGCCAAAGGAGGAGACGGCAGTGCTCGGGTCATTTATTATCCCTCAAAGAAGACAAAGTCGGAAGTACGGGCATGTTTGGATATTGGAAGAATGCCGAGGGACAGTTGATAGAAGACGGCTATCCTGTTTGCAGCACGTGCAGAAAAAGTGTCTGTGAAAGGCAGCAACGCTTCAAATCTCATGACACACCTGCGTGGCCATCATAATGTAGCCATTGTCTCACGACTCCGCCGTCTCCAGTTTGCCACTTTTCACAAAATCTTCTGGTTGCCACTGGTCCTGGTGGTTTTTCTTCCAGTTTGACGAGTTTTCTTTTGGAAGGCTGGCTGACTCCAGTTAAAAACCGCCACATTTCGCCGCTAGTTTTAACACGAAGCTAACTGCTAACTTGCTAAAATTATTGAATGGGATAGGTGGAAATGACGTTGGATGTGGCGCTCACGTTTCGCGTACGTTTGTGTACGTTGCATGCAGGCGGGAGGAGTATCATAAATCCATGGAAGATGACTGATAAACATAACTAATTTGGTGCAAACATTTACTCGCTATGTGGCAGATAGAGCTCAAAAATTTACTTGCCAAATGGAGCAATTTGTTCGCATTTGGCGAGTGTTAATTTAGGACCCTGCACACAGGGGAGTGGAGGACGCGCTCATCTACCTGCAGCATTGGGCTCTCACTCACCTCAAGGTGCAAAAAAGCACTGTGAGAGTCATGTTCTTTGACTTCTCAGTTGCCTTCAACACCATCCAGCCGTATCTACTGCAGCAGAAGATGAGGGGTGCAGGAGGGGACGAACGTCTGACTACATGGACCATAAACAACCTCACCAACAGGCCACAGTTCGTGGGGCTGCACAACTACATCTGTCTGGGGTGACGGTGGCACAGGAGTTAAGTGCTCGCCCCGCAATCGGAAGGTTGCAGGTTCGAGCCCCGCTCAGTCTGTCACTGTCGTTGTGTCCTTGGGCAAGACACTTAACCCACGTTGCCTGCTGGTGGTGGTCGGAGGGACCGGTGGCGCCAGTGCTCGGCAGCATCGCCTCTGTCAGTGCGCCCCAGGGCAGCTGTGGCTACATCGTAGCTCATCCCCACCAGTGTGTGAATGTGTGTGTGAATGGGTGAATGACTGATTGTGTTGTAAAGCGCCTTGAGGGGTTCCAGGACTCTAGAAGGCGCTATATCAAATACAGGCCATTTACCATTTGACATCTGAGGTGGTTGTGTGCAGTACTGGAGCACTACAGGGTACGGTGCTCTCACCCTTTCTCTTCACCGTCTACACCTCAGACTTCTCCCACAATACCAGCAGCTGTCACCTCTAGAAGTTCTCTGATGACTCGGCCATTGTCGGCTCTGTATCTGTTGGGAATGACCATGAGAACAGGTCAGTCACCATGGACTGTGGTCTGATGGGGGTGCAGGCAACTCTAAACGAGACAGGAAGAGACTGAACAAGCTAGTTCACAAAGCTAGCTCAGTTCTGAGCTGCCCACTGAATTCAGTTGAGGAGGCGTGTGAAAGAAGATGGTGGGGAAGATGACCGCCATCTTAAAAATCCTCTCTCACCCACTGCATTCCACCTGTGGAGACCATGGACAGCTCCTTCAGAGGCAGACTGAGACATTCCAGATGTAAAACAGAACACTACAGTGTCATTCATCCCCTCTGCAGTTAGAGTGTTTAACTCTTCAGTTTAAGCTGTACTGGCATTATCCTGGTACACACCACCACCAATGCAATACCCAGTATGTGTTCAATACTTGTGCAATACCGGATTTACATGGTACAGTGGTGTGAAAAACTATTGGCCCCCTTCCTGATTTCTTATTCTTTTGCACGTTTGTCACACAAAATGTTTATGATCATCAAACACATTTAACCGTTAGTCAAAGATAACACAAGTAAACACAAAGTGCAGTTTGGAAATGATGGTTTTTATTATTTAGGGAGAGAACAAAATCCAAACCTACATTGCCCTGTGTGAAAACGTAATTGCCCCCTGAACCTAATAACTGGTTGGGCCTCCCGTAGCAGCAATAACGGCAATCAAGCGTTTGCGATAACTTGCTACGAGTCTTTTACAGCGCTCTGGAGGAATTTTGGCCCCCTCATCTTTGCAGAATTGTTGTAATTCTGCTTTATTTGAGGGTTTTCAAGCATGAACCGCCTTTTTAAGGTCATGCCATAGCATCAGGGCCAGATTAAGACTTTGTTGTACCCTGGGCAACAATATTCAAGGGCCCCATCATCACGAACCGAGGATCACCATAATGTGGTCACATACAGAATATTTTACTGTAATATGCAGTAAATAAACTCAATACTTGAATGCCTGACATCATGTAACCCGCCCAGAGTAACCTTTGACCCACCTCGTGTGGACTGACCAATGAGGAGAGGGTCTTAACTTGAGGCCCTCTCTTCATTGGTCAGTCTGTATGAGACTGACTCTCAACTGACGTTCAGTCGTAGGCAGTGAAGCGTCTCTGTGCAGTGCAAAAGCCCGGGTGGACAGTTTGTTTAATGTAGGGTGACCATATTTCCATTTCCAAACAAGAGGACAGGGGATCTGTGCCTATGACGTCACACTATGGCAACGCCACACAAACCACGTTGGGACCCATTTTTTGTAAGAACTAAATTAATATCAGATTCTGCCAAAAAAGGGCTCTAAAACAATTCATATGTAAATATTTTGCATATTTTGTAACAACCAGGGCTGGAGGACCCGTGAAAGCACCAGACACAGTAAGACGCTTTAAAGTTTTTATTTGAGAACACACAGGGGAGTGTTACCAGTCTGTAGGAAGGGCAGTAGCAGAAGGCTTGGTCAGGAGGGGAAATCCAAGGTCAGGAGTCCAGAAGATCAGAAACTGTGAGATAATCCAGTCAGGGAGCAGGCAGGTGGCAAGGTCGAGGTTCAGAAACAAGGTCAGGAACTTGAGGTTTAGGCAGGGTTTTAGAATGCTGGATAATCTACTAACAAATGCTTTCAAAAATCTGGCACTGGCTTGGCGTTTCTCCTGATGTTATATAGAGGTGGTTGCAGGTGGAGCTGATGAGTTAATGTGAGACAGGTGGTTTGAATCAGGTAGATGATGAGCTGGTTGTGGTTGCTGGGGAAACCGGGCCTGGCTGGAGAGGTGGCATGACAGAATCCCCCCCACAAGGGCCGGCACCGGACGGCCCACCCGGCCGGCCAGGACGGGAGCGGCGGGAGTCCCGGAGGAGAGAGAGGTCGACGAAGCGGCGAGCGGGAACCCAGGACCGCTCCTCAGGACCAAAACCAGCCCAGTCCACCAGGTATTGAAGCCCACGGCCCCGGCGCCGGGAACGGAGGACCCGCCGCACAGCCCAGACCGGACCACCAGGAAGGAGCCGGGCGGGCGGAGGGGGCCCGGAGGAGGGCACGAGAGACGAGGACACCACAGGTTTCACCTTTGACACATGGAAAGAGGGGTGG